AGCGCTGGTTTTAAGCCATGTTTCTTAATTTAACCCAGTGAATCACATAATTATGCCAATCGTGCAAAGTATGGCCCAAGACCTAACAAGAGCTTCATACCAAATGCTTGAAACCCTGATAAACAAAAAAAGGTGCACTCATGCTATGAATCTGCTAGAAATATTTTTAAAGATTCAAGAAAATGTTGTTAAAAAGGGTGAGTTTTTAAGAGCTATAGGAATGTTTTTCAATAAAATTCATGCGTTTTTATTTCAGAAAAATGCACGAGATCTTTGTTTGAACCGATAGTACGGTCCATATAATTGAATGTTTGAAGATTATTTCATGCAAATATTGACCGTGACTGCGTCTCAAATGATCCACCCGCTTAGCCCAATTTTGGCATACTCTTTCCATCATTTTGGTAGGTATCTCACGAATAAATGCTTTAATGTTGTTCTCCAATGGGTCAATTGAAGCGGGCTTGACTGTATAGACGTTGGATTTAATGTAGCCCCACAAAAAAAGTATAAAGGCTTTAAATCGCACGATTTAGGCGGACAATTGACCGGTCCCGGACATCAAATAAATGTTCACCGAACTCGTCTCTCAATAAGTCCTGTGTGGCATGTGGCACCGTCTTACTGAAACCACATGTCATGCAAGACAAGCTCTTGCATTTTGAGCAAAAAAAAGTTTGATATCATCTCACGGTAGCGCTCACCATTCACAGCTACGTCACGATTCGTTCATCTTTGAACAAGTGCGGTCTGATGCCACTAGTCCATAAACCGCACCAAACCGTGTCTTTTTCTGGATGCTTTGGTAGCTCTTGCAATGCTTCTGGCTGATCTTCACTCCAAAACCGACAACTCTGCTTATTTACGCACCCATTATGCCCGAAATGAGCTTCGAAGCGTGCGCAGAAGAAGCGCGCGATGAAATTTCTTAAAAGAGCACGCATTTTGATAAAAAAAATTCAATAATATGCAAGCGTTGCTCGTTTGTAAGATGATTCTTGGTTTAATTATAGACCAAACTGAAGATGTTTGACAGTGATACAAAACACGAAGCGTCAGCTGTTTAAACCATTGTTGTTGTAGTTAAAAAATCACCCTTTACTTTTATCTGAAAAACTGTTCTCCAACAAGTATTATTTTTATATCGCTGGGTTTAAGCTGTAATCGCACAGATGGCAAAGCACAGGTGGTATAGCTATACTCATAACGAACAGTTTGTAGCACATTTTTTTCACTCCTCAACAAACTGGTTGCAGTCAAATTTGACCACTCTTAACACCAGCGGTTTGAGCTTACTTTGACTGCGATTTACTGTCCGTCATATGTCGTACCCACAGAAAAGCAATTTATTGACGTTTCTATCACTCGGGAGATATATTTTTAGCTGGAGGTGACTACATACATTGGGAGATTAATTAACTCAAAAGATCGATAATTATTTATTACGATCATAAGTACCAAAAATAGATACAATTTATCTATTTGTGGACAAAAGCTCAATAAAACTACACCAATAGAATAGACGCATTTTGCAATACGGCGAATATAGTAAAGTTCCTAATTCTTTTCGAGATAATTTACTGAATTATTACATTTTTTAATAATAGATTGAGAAATATGGAATGAATGTAAAATTCTTTCTGCTATAGAACTTGAAAAAATTATTTTCAATCATTTAGAGGGATTATCCAATAGAAAAATTGAATTGCAGCTCCAGAACTGTGGATCGGTATTTGAAAGATGCAAGCTCACATAGAACATGTTATAAAGAAAGAAAACAAACTCGTGAAACACGCAAGATTCTAAGAATTGCTTCAAATTCTACTGATTCGGATGCAAATATAAACCAATAAGCTGGTATAAAAGTGAGTCTTTCTGCTGTAAAACGCCAATTTCTAATGCAAAACACTTGAAATGTTTGAAATTAAGAAATAAAAACCACCACTGAATGCTAAATGTACGCGGGCACACCCACAATTTGGAAGAAATTCCATGGACTGGACAACTCAAAGTGTGACACGTTGTAACGATTGGTAAACGGTTGTTTTTTTTTTTGTTGAAAACCGTTTTAATTCAGATAGTTCCAATGATTTTCGGTACTATTTTCATGATTTAAGAATGGAAGAAGCTTTTTTGTGGCGTAATCACATCTGAACCGATGGTGCCATGGTTTGGGGTGCAATTACTTTTTACGGCACAGTCGACCTTATTTTTGTCGACCAAACTATGGATAGAATACAATGTAGTCCGTCTTTCCTGAGATTAAAGACCCTTTTGAAGCATTGACATGCCCAGGGCAGGACAATGCTCCTATTCACAACGCCGGCGTCGTAAAGTCGTTTATAGTGTACCAAAATGTTGAGTTAATGTCCTTGTCGCCTTATTCTCCAGACCTTAACAATGTCGAAATCGCATGGGGCCGGATTTGAGGCAAAATTTAAGAAGGAGGGAAGCAATAAAACGATAAGCCGTCCTTATTTACTGCATTTAAAAGCGTTTAAAGTTTTATCATCGGTCAATCCATGAAGACAGCGGAATATAAAACTCTCTAATTTATACAGTTTCATCGCGATCGACTTCAAACTACTTTTATAAAAAGTATTACCAAAAATCTGAATTTTTTGATGTTTCAAGACCTTTGCGTCGCGAATGGCAAGCCAGCCAATCTCCACATGCAAAAATTCGACTTAAGATGGCCGAAACAAAACAAAGCAAAGGTATTAAAAACGAAGAAGAAAGAAATATTCCAAATCTTATAACGTCTTTTACTATGTTTATGCTTCATTTCTCCGCGGGTTTATTCTACTCGGGTTAAGTCTACAAGCATAAACACTAAATGTTCTACTCGAGTTGAATTCAGAATGGAGTTAATATCAGAGCTGCCCAGCCCAAAGGTGCTATTTTTTGGTCAAATTTTGGGAAAACAATTATTATTTTGGCAGAAAGTTAGAATTTCGGAAACTCTGTATCAATCAGGTTAAATACAAATCAGCTGATTTCAACTCAGCCGGCGTTTTTGCTCCTGATCTAACGCTTCTACATATGTAGAGTAAATGTCTAACATCTACCCGGGTAGAATAGACTACTAAAAAATCCCTATGAAAGGCTAGAAAAACCTTTAGCCGCCAGTAAACACTGCCAGAACGGATAAGATAAAGGTGTCTTGTTTTGCAGAGCACCTCAGTACAGCATTTCAACCAATTACTGCTACAAATAGTACACTTTTGTCCCTGAACCATACTGCTCCAAGAATAACTATTACTTGTGGATAATCTGTGTCTGAACTAAAAAATATTATTGTCGCCTTAAGTCATAAAATTTCTCTAAATGCTAAACGAATTGTCAAGTTTTGGTCTCGTTTTTCTTGCAAAGCTTTTCAGTGTCATATTAAAGCTCCACAAATATGGAAAAAGTCGCAAATAATCATGATAAAGATGCAACTTTGCCATCACCAAATATATCAATTAGGCTGTTGTCTTGCCTATCCAAACTGCTGCTATAAAAAATTACTCCTTTTCTCCATGGGAATTATATAATTCCTACACATCCATTTGGATTTCGCGAAAGACATGGCTCAATTGAACAAGTAAATCCTACAACACAGGAAATATAGAAAGCTTTCGAATGGTGTGGAATGAAGGTCTTATTCATAATTCTAAATAATAACTACCAATAAAATTCCACAAAATCCTATAATCCTACTAATCCGAGAGACGATTCACAGTAAAAGTTAATGAGTATGTAACAGAAAAGTATCTAATAACGGCAGGTGTGACCCAAGGTAGTCTTTACCAATTTTTGTACATACTGTTCACCGCAGATATTTCTATGAGTAATATTGTGGCCACGGTAGCCGAGTGGTTAGCATTGCGTACTGACATTCAGAAAGCTCGGGTTCAAAACTCGGTGCCACCAACATTCAAAAGTTATGGAAAATTAATTTAAATAAAAAAATCAATTCCATTTTCTAATAGCGGTCGCCCCTCGGTAGGAATGTCCACTCCTTCGAGTGTATTTCGGACTTGAAATAAAGACTCCTCGTAAAAAACAATCAGGCGTTCGTAGGCTGTTAACAGCATATCTCTCCATTTGTTGAAAAAATATCTATACGCAAAACTACAAATCGGAGGAAGAGCTTGGCCGAAAAATTTGCTTGAGCGGTAACAAGGCGGCAATTATATATATAATATGCTATAATAATTCGGCATAAGTGTTAGAGCAGCGTAGTGTAATAGCAGTGTATATACCACAAGCTAACGAAATCACATACCTTAGGCTTCAAGTGGATATACGATTAGCTCGGAATCGACAAATTTCCAGTAAAAATAATCGAATCTTCGCTCAATCTTGAAAACATAGTCCAGCCAGTGCGACAAAGTCAGATATAATACGAAACGTTCTTGTCCTACGCAACAAGTCGAACGCGCCCGAAGAGAAGGGACTTATTTACTACGCTAGTAAAGAGTAGCACTGCTCAAGTAGATAACCCATTCCTAGCCAAGTGTAGCTATTATTTTGTAATTTAGGGTTAAGATTTTATTGTGAAGGTTCAGTAATAGAAACAGATTCAGACTATATATAAAGGATAATGTTACTAACAAATATGTTGATATTATAATATTTTATTTCATTTTATTTTGTTTTAATTAAGATTAGTTATTTGTTTCTATTTATTTCAATTTTATTTTATTATTATTTACTTTATTTTATATTATATCATTTTATATTACTTAATTTTATTTTATTTTTTTTTATACCCTTGGTTTACTTTATTATAGTTTAATTCAGTTTTTTTCTAATTTCATTAACTTAGACATAATTAATTAAAAATATTTTATATCCTTTTGTTTTACGTTATTGTATTTTATTTAATATTCTTTTATTTTATTTAGCTATGATTATTTTCTTTTTTTTAATTTTATTATTTTATTATGTTTAATTTTTATCTGTTAATTAATTTTATTTCAGTATAGGTTTTTTATAATATCTGTATTCTTTGTAATATTTTACTATATATTTCAATTTTTTTTAAAATATATGGATTTGCCTGTTTTGTAGACTATTTACACTTTTGATTTAGCATATTTATATTTTAGTTGTTTTATTACTTCAAGCAGTTGAAGGGAAATTCATTTAAATTGAAATAGGCAAAATGTCATCGAAAATCTTTCCAAAAATAAACAGAAAAATTATAAGTGGCACACTCATTTAAAAAATATTGAAATATATAATTTGGTAAATTTGTGTCCATTCACAACACTAAATCAAAAACTCAAGTAAAAACTTCACTTTTAGTACTTCACTTATGCAAAGACTTCCAAAAGCAACTTAATATTTTGTACATGAAAATGCTGTGATTTTATGTTGTACCCTTGACTGTTAGTGCTTGTGATGGTAATGGCGTTGGTGTTGAAGTTTGATTTTTCACCATAAACAAGGAAAAATAAGCTCTTACGCCTGTTTATATATTACACGTTTCAGCATGCAAAAGGCATACTGTTTCATTTGTTTTGTTGTTTGCTCAATTGTTGTTGCAAGCTCTTTTCGTATTGTTTTTTGGTCATCTTTTCCACTTAATACTACTGTTGTTGTATTTGCATATGGAGCAACTCTTATAGCGCTGTCTGCTTCAGCTTCCAGCGCTCTTGCTACATTCGTTGTTTTTGTTGCCGTTTTTATTGCTGTTGCCATTTGCATCATTGCTGTCTGCAACCACGTCACTAACAGTATGCCAACAAAGGCAATTAACATTGCATAATTGCAACACATTCGTTGTATGTAGTATGTTGCCTTATAATTGTTGTTGTTGTTGTTGTTACTATAGCTACAAAATGTACACTTCGGCAACCACAATTGCATTCTTGTCGCTACACTTTTATCCTTTGACCAGTCATAGCCCTTCGGATTCTCACCGGTCAGCTTTTGTTCGGATTTGCCAATTTCATTCAAATTTGATTGGTACTTTGAGCCCACTGAAATGGAAGACAAACAACACAAAGAATCAAAAAATTAATGAAAATGAAATTCACTGTTAATTGAGAGCAATTTATGGCAATTGATTTAAAATACAACACTTAAATGTATGAATGTTCATGAACAAAGTAATTTTAGCGTAAAGACATCAGAAAAATTCTTAAATAAATTAAAATGTCTTGTCTGTTAAAAACGGTTGTATGCATTTAAATACGTTATATATAATATGTAAACACTACTGCCTGCAATATATTTCTACGTAATCTACTTGTAGGTATCTATAATAAATAAAATAAAAAAATTAAAAATTAAGATCTAATAAAAGAATATAAAGTTACCCAAAAATATATAAAAATGAAATAACATTGTAAAAAAAATAATATAACACAATAAATCAGAATCAAAAAAAAAATTATAATATAAAACAAAATAAAATTAAGGAAAATAAAACAAAATGAAATATATGTAAATAATATTTAAATTATTCAGAATAAAATCAAATGAAATAAAATTAAATAAATAAAACAAACTAAAAACATAAAAGCAAAAAATTAAATCAAATAGGAGAATATAAAATAAAACAAATTAAAAAAGAAAGAAAATTATAATATAAAGTAAAATAAAAAATTAGTCAACTTAAATAAAATTAAATAAAAAAATATTAAAACATAAATTAAGCTAAATTTAAATGAAATGGAAAATATTTATAAGGAAATAAAAATAAAATAGAGCAATTCAAATAATAAAAATAAATAAAAATATATTTATGTAAATAAAAAACAAAATAAAATAGAGTACAAAGGAATAATCTAGAATAAAAAAAATTAAGGATAATTAAATCAAGTAAAATAAAATAAAATAAAAGAAATTAAAATATAATAAAGTAAAAGGAATAAAAGTAAAATAAATATTAACAAAATGAAAAAGATAAATAAAATAAAGTAAATTTAATTAAATTTGAAAAAATACAAAGAAAAAAATAAAATAAAGCAAATTCAAAAACGAAATAAAATAAATATAAATAAAATAAATAAAACTAAAATAGAGAAAAATAAAATAAATTAAAATAAAATAAAATAAACTAATAAAAAAATAAATAAAATAAAATAAATTAAGTAAAATAAAAGTGTATACACTAAAATAAAATAAAGTTAAATAAAATAAAATTAATTAAATATATTATAATATAAATAAATTAAAATTAAAAAATTCAAATAAAAAACAATTAAAATAAACAAAATAAAATAAAATAAAATAAAATAAAATAAAATAAAATAAAATAAAATAAAATAAAATAAAATAAAATAAAATAAAATAAAATAAATAAAGTAAAATAAAATAAAAGACTTTTAACAAAATAGAATTGAATTCATTTAAATAAATAAATATAAGATAAATATGAAATAAAGTAGGGAAATAATATATTAAAAAACAATAAAATTAATTAAAAATGAAGATGAAATTTATTCTACATTACGAAACTTAAGGCTGTTTTTAAACTTTGTTGTCAATGCAATTTATCATATATATTTATATCATAAATATTTGTGTACAAATATTAAAAAAATAAGTAACGAAATCGGGTATTTTCTGTTTCCTTCGCTCTCCATAAAATATATGAAATATGAAAAGTTTGTTTGCTTAAACCACATTGCATGAGAAACAATCTGTTATTTTTATGCACGTCTGCCCCATGCAAACCCACCGCACACTATTTATACTATTCAATTGCTTTATGGCTTTGTTGCACTCACGTGCATAGATTTATCAGAAACTTACATTTATCGATGACAATCACTGAATTAGTTGGCATTATGCCATAAATTGGCGTACTGAAAATGTCCCAAGCCGGTGCTATTGTGGTGCGACGTGTTGTGGTCGTGGTTGGCGGTGGCAGCGTTGTTGGCGGACTGGACACTGAAAGAAAAATGAAAACAAAAGAGAAAAGATATAAAGTCGGGGTCATAAAAGCGTATTAGAAGGAAAGACGAATTGATATGTAATTTTTTTTATTTATTTTATTTTTTATTTTAGTTTTAATGTCTTTATTATTTCATTTCGCTGCATTTTATATGGCTTTAATTTACCACTTATTCTATTTATAATACCATTAATACTATATTACTAAATTTTATCTCATTTAACTTAACTCAATTAAAATTAAATTTTGCAATTCGTATTTTTAATTTAATTTATTTGTTTAATTCCATACATTTGGTAGCAAATAAATCCAAACCTTTTTGCCACACCTAAAAAGTGTTAAACCAATAATTTACAATTTGCGGTCAAAATAAAATCCAAAATACTTGGTGGAATTTTGTGGGATTTAAAAAGATTTAAAAAGATTTAAATCAAAATGGTTTGCTAAATAAATCAAATAACAACAAATTTTTATGTTATTATTTATTTATCACTTCCGAGTAAAAATATCAGTTTTATGGGCAATTTTCACAAAAAAATGTAAAATTACAAATAAATTAAAAATGAACATATGACAAAATGAAAAACTTATTTAACAGCAAATATCATTTTTTTTAAGCTGGCCACTTCATTTTTTCATGCCCACGAGTGTTTGTCACGGTATTAAAAGGTGAAGTATTGTATGTTGTATAGCATATTTTCAGGCATTCTACTTTACGCATATTCACACATTTAGTAATATATTTTTTCCATTGCTTGAATTTTCGCCTTTACGGCTGATTTTAGTGGCTTTTCGTGTTATTTATGGCCATTTTACTAACACTCTGACACATAAAATAAAATCGTTAAACGTAAAATTATTGCCAACTAGAGATTTTCGGCGCACAAACACACGTACACAACCATCTAAGCTTATTTATTGCGTTGTTTAAATATAATATGTATGTTTGCATATGCGCTGGTGCGCAAATAAATAGAAATGACAAACGAAAACGAAATAAATACATTTATCCATTTGGCCAACAACTAAATACAGTGTGTTTATTACAAATTGATGAGTTTAATAATTGAATGAGTTTTTATAAAAACGTATGTTTAGCTTTTATTTAAATAAGTTACATTAAAAATATTTCAAATAAATTTAAAGCTTTAATAAGTCGTATTTTTAGTTTTGAAGGTTAGGCAGACTTAAACAAATTCTATCATTCGTGATGATTAAATGATTACTGCCCAACATATGGCCTCAGGTTCATATAATTTCTATTTATTTGCTGACTTTCATATACAATATATAGCATAGACCGCTGTTGTGTTTTAGATCTGGTTGCCAGCATAAGCTTTTCGACGCAGATGTTTAGAAGCCAAGAATTGAAAATTGGTTTTGGCAATCCAGCAGGTAACTTCAGGTCGAAGCTTGAGAGAAGACTTGGCGAAATTGTTTTTTCACAACCTTTCTGCGGAGGATAAGGATATATTTATATATTATATTTATACTCAGCAGGGCCGCCGAGAGAAAATCGGGGCCCGGCGATAATTCAAATTTCATGATCTAACAAATATGTTTATTTGTACTTACACTGCAAATCAACGAGTTGGGGATTAAGATAGAATATAATTTGATTAAAAATTATAATGAATGACTAATCTGGAACAATTTTTGTTTAAACAATTTTATTACCTTAGTTTGCATCACAATAGTATTTTAATAGGTAGCAACCCTAAAAAATATGCCTTCCTTGCTTTAGCTGATGCAAATTCCTCAATGGTAATACCGAAGTAAAGTTTTCTAGCTAATTTTAGATAGACAATTAACTTCATTTTTTTCAACAAGTTATAGCTCTATGTAAGACTTTTCACAGATTATAGCCTGAAAAATTGATCTTTCTCATACAAAACTAAATCTTACTGCAATGACTGTAAGATAAGAACATGCGTCACATACATCATATGTGAAGTAACAAAATTACTGATTTTTTTCAGACGCGTAGAATTAGTATCGCAATCCATGAAAATCTGTAGTCAGTTACGTCATAGATATTCTAGAAGCAAATTATTCTATATACGACAATGAAAACACCGGGCCCCCTTGCAATCTACGGGCCCGGGGGAGAAGTCCCCGATCCTCCCCTCTCTCTCCAGGAAACTGCAAGACCACCGAGATCATCTGCGAGTTGGGTGCTTAAGAATTTTCCTGCCTTTGTCGTAAGAGACGAAAAAAAGGGAATATTTTTTCGACTACAACAACAACGAGGGCTAGAGAGAGGAGAACCCTTATATATATATATATATATATATATCTACATAATATAATAATATCAAATTAGTCCCGAAGGTCCCTAAGACGCGATCACTAGGTGACACTCATATTTAGAACATATTGAATTTATCAATATGAAATAAATGGCATTTTACTCTTAAAATATGTCTCTTCGGTCGATACTACAGCCAAAAATATTTATTGCTAATTAAAAAATTTATAAGCAATTAAAATTGGAAAAATGTAAAAAATTAAAGCTCCGCAATTTTTTTTTGTTGAAAATGTTTCGTAATGTCGTAATGTGATAAGGAATAAGAAAGCGTTTCGATTTTTGGCTCCAGATTTTTCGTTTTACAGTTATCACTCACCAACATAAGAGACGTGTTTCAGCAAAAAAAATGTTTCAATTAATATTTTTATACGTCTTCTTATCCACAAAAATTTTGATGTATTAATTTTTTTTTAAATAAATAAGATTTGTTTGAAGAATACACTGTTTTTTTACTAAGAATGAGATAGCAAAATGATCGAGACATCGTGAACGGTTTTTCATTAGTACAATATAACCCCGGGTATAATACCAGAGCACTGTGTTATGAGTCTTCCCAGCATTAGAACTCTAATGACTTTAGTCGATTTTAGTCGCGGTTGGGGGAACGAAGAAGATGAATAGTTAGTGACTATCCAGCCTTACAACTCAATTTCCTCATGAAGTTATTTTTTGACTGTCTCGTTGAGCTTGTTTAAGCTCAAATTAATAATCTCGTAAGACACACTAAATGTTTCGCAAATAAAATGAATACGGAATCGACGTTTAACTATGGCTCGTCGCTACATCTAAACTTCGACTAACATTTTAAAACTATCTGGGTCGCCATTACCACTCATACATATGTAACCTCATAGCCATTTAACCCATCATTACCATCACAATCATGACCTCATAACATTTTCTCCACACACACAGTTTATTTTTATATCTCCCCTGTTCATGTCCTTCTTACCGTTAGACACAATCGATTCGTAATTTGCTAAATCACATTTAAGTAACTAATTTATGGGTAAACACTAAAATCAACCCATAAAATCAATGTCAAACGTTCTAACAATTGAAGCAATGGCGCAGAGCAAAAGAGGAAGAGGTAAATGATAGTAGATAATGTGCGGATAAACACACTCACAGATGTAGAGATACTTAGACAGAGCTAGGTAATAAAAAGCGCTTGCAGACACTTTAACAAAATATCAAAGCGGTCAGAAAAGGTACAAGTTTGCTATTCAATTGTATTTCGCTGAAATCGCGTAGGTCTGAAAAGAGAAAAAGTTGCCAAACTACAAAATTTTTCGTAAATATTAATATGATAAAAAAAAATATTTTACTAATAAGATCGTTTGTGCAGTATGTGATTTCATCTTATTCGAATCACATATGGTCACAGTTTCGCCGTTTTCATCAAAGAAGTAAGAGCCAATCATACCTCCGAACGGAAAATCGCACCAGGCAGTCTGTTTTTGTGGTTGTAAGGGCCTCTCTCAACTATTTGAAGAATTTTGCAGGCCTAAAAGCGACAATTTTGCTTACTCACGTATCCCTGAATTAAGGAATCTGCCTCGACGCTGAGAGAAATTCTGTTTGAAAAATCGATCGAGTTGTAAGTCTAAGTGCAAAATAGGTCGTAATGTGGCATACGAAACTGTCAACTCTTTAGGATGTCGAGAAATAGACACATTCGGGTCTTCGGCTGCACTTTCACTTACATTAACGATATTTGAAGTGGAACGAGTAAAACGACGATTAACAGACCCTGGAATATTTGTAAACGAATCAGTAGAGACCGAATATTTGACCATTATCTCCTCTGGAAACACGAAACATGGCCACGTTTGATTAAATGCCTGATATGTGCGAGCATATATTAATAAAAATACAAGAGTTTAAGAATTTTGTGCGAATAGGTTTCTGTTGACAGTAACTTGAAATATTCATCTCGGCCAGAAAATGGAATTAAATCCTGAACATTTTTACGCTATTGCTTTTTACAACTTTCCACGTGGATTAACTCAGCAAGAGTGCATCGGTGAACTTAATTCAGGTGTTGGCGGTGAAGCTACATCAGGGATCAGTTTAGGATATGGTGCATTCGAGAGTAGAGATCGTAGATCTCTCTAAGTCAAATTTCGTGAGGGTCGTCCAAAATCAGTTGTTGTTAAAAAAATTATTGAAGCTGTGCGCAAACAGCAACTGCAAACTCGTCATGTGATCTATAGTGAGATTGAGACTACTAAAGGGATTAGTGAGACCAGGTTACATTCAATATTGCGTAAGCTTCGTGTCGATCGGTAGAGACATCGTGACATCCAACAAAAGTTGTTCGCGCACGAAGCACTTCAATGTTGGTTGACGTTTTTTTTTTGTAATACGCAACAACACTACTAGAACAAAGTAGAACAGTAAGTTCAGGGTGCTATACACTATATTCTTTGCTAGTTGTTTTTAATAAAAATTCAGGAAAGCCATTGCCCAAGACGGATCACTCTGCGCCACGACAATGCGAAATCCCACATATTGATTGAATCAACTGCATTTTGAGCAATAAAAGCATCGATTTGATCATTTATCCATCGCATAGTCCTGGCTGGCGAATGACTTTTTGATTCCCTTATTGCCGTAAAAACCTAACAAGAGATCAATGTTATTAGACACCTGAAGAGGCGGTTGATGTGATTAGAATATTGTACATGAAATATATACATCAATCAAAGTGTCAAAAGTGCTTCGACAATTAGTGCTAAATCATGCAAAACTATATATTTGTTTTTGTTCTCTAATCCCAAAACATAAATGGTAACCCTCGTATATGCGTGTGTGTATGTGAGTGTAGTTTTCTTCACAAGCAGTTCTATTCAATTGCTCAATCTCGTTGTTCGCGGGACAAATGTCCCATAATAATATTAGCAATGTCAAGCACAAATTAAATCTTCAATGGCATGCCTTACAATGTAATAGAAATAGATGAATGCACATGTACGAGTATATTGTCAACCTCTGTAATTGTTATATAAGTTATCAGCACTTTTCTGCAACAGTAAATTGAATGCAATTAATTGAAGGAATTGTAAAAAGGCATTGAAAGCTAAAAATAACATTTGTAGGTTAAGAGTGTTTTTTGAAAGCGTACGAAAATGGACGGAGTTTTTTTTTAGCTTTTCTTGATATTTTACCAGCCCGATATTAAATGAAAATTACCGGGAGATTTCTAATCTTTCTCTCATGTCCGATCATCCTTTCCCTTTTGTCATATTTTAAACAAACTTCGCAAAAGTGAAAAAAATCCCAGTAAAAACAAAATACCGCGCAAAATTTGGCAAAGATTAAATAAATTTTCCAAAAAATATGAATGTCAGTTAATAGCGGCAGATATACGCATTTCATTGATGATTTACAAATTTTATATTTTATATTTATTCTATGTAATTAACAACAAACACAAATTTCACTATTAAATTGAACCTCACTGATGCACAAAGATTTACCGTTATATTCGACGACTTGTCGAAAATTTTTTAATGCAAAATAAATACCGCTATAATCGTGAGCAAACTTGCTGTAATATGAGATAATTTTGACATTATAGTATTGGCATTGGTTGGGTGTAGATCAAAATGGTTCGCCAAAAAGTATTGATTCGCGCACTCCTAATATTGTACATTATAAAGATGGCAAAAGTCAGCATAAAATCGTGGAAATGGTGAAATTGAGTCACAGAACTGTTCAGCATATCATTGAATGCTATGTTCGTGAAAGTCGTGTCTTAAATAAAACTAAAACTAAAAGTAAAATAAAAATAAAATATTTAACTAAAGTGATTCCCGTTGGATTGTACGAAAAATACTCGAAAATCCGCACTTAAGTGCTCCAGCTTTAGGTAAATAAGTGCTTACATATCTTGAAAAGAGCTATAACCCAGAAACCCCTCATTTCAAAATAAACCATATGTCAGTGCTAAAAATCAAAGTGCAAGGTTGAAGTTTGCAAAGGACCATTTATATAAAAATGAAAGTTTCTGGGACACCGTAATTTTTGCGGACGAAAGTAAATTCAACTTGTTTAGATCAGATGAAAAGAGCTAAGAGCACTTTAAAACATGGTGGAGGGCATGGAATGGTATGTGGATGCATGTCGTCTTCTGGAGTTGGAAATTTGGATTTCATCAATAGTACTACAGATGAGACTGTGTATTTGGACATTTTAAAAATAAATTTGTTGGAAACTGCCTCAAAATTAAATATTCGTGACAAGTTTGGGTACTATCAAAATGATGATCCGAAACACAAATCGGGTGTTGTGCAAAGTTGGCTTATTTGGAACTGTCCGCACATAGTACAAACCCCAGCGCAGTATCCAGACTTGAATGTGATTGAGAATATTTGGTCAGTTTTGGAACGAGAGATTCGAAAATATGATATTCGAAATCAAACCGACTTAAAGCGAAATTCAATCTCACTGGAATGAAATAGTCGATGAAAATGTTGCCAGCGAGGAAGTTTGGAGTGTAGAGTTTATCGACGTTGAAGAAGGATTCGTTGCCATTCTTCCACATTTGCTCTAGCAGCGAATAAATATCTACTACAGTATTTATAAATCTAACTTAATTATTTTTTTGAATAACAATTGTTTGTTTCGCCAAATTATCAAATGTCAATAATACACAATTATACTAAGCAACTGATTTCGAAAGAGAAAAAAATCCTAGTCCCAAAAAATCATTCTCCGTGTGCATTTATATTTGGCTGATTTTTTCTTAGGAGATTTCTAAATCCGCAAGGTTGAATTTCGGCGAGAATATTTAAGATTAGGCTGTGTGCAGAGTGGATGTTCTGACGTGACGTATGAGTGCTTTTCGAGTCCACAAGCTATAACTGGTGTGTTTTCCTTCAGTTTTTAATGTCTCATCGTAAGTAAATGCATTCTTCGCATAGGCGTATAGATGTGGTATTTTGTTGTGTTAACTGACAAAAGCTGGTCCCTAATGTTTGCACTGTTTTCGGAAGAACTGAGGTTAGACTTATTGATCTATGATCATTCAAACAGAGTTTATTTTCTTTGCCCGCCTTTAGTATGAACGAGACCCCCTCCTCTTTTACAAGGTCGGGATTATTGCTTAACCTTAAATATCCTTCGTATGGCGCCAGCATTGCTGAAATCTTCACAATCAAAGCTGAGAAATACGGTTTGTTCTACGGGTTTAAATAATTCGAAGCCGTTGAGTGCCCAAAGTATTTTATTTCTGCATGAGAACTGAAGAAAGGTGAACTCTCTCACTAGTTTCCACTTTTCACATTTTTTTGTGTATAAGCTAAGAACCACTCTTGATCTTCATCCCATCTACAATATTGGAAATCATCAACTGTATAATTTTCCAATATTTTTATAGTACAATACTTAAGAGTAACTTCATAAAATTCATTGTACAAAAACTTTAGATTATTCAATAAGTTAAAATTGATTTGTTTCCTTTTTATGACCAAGAAAACAACTATTTCTTTCTACAACTTTGGCGACAAAAACTACAAAGCCCTTCTTACGCTCTGACAAAAGTCTCAGCAGTAAAATGCTCTAAAGCTTTGAACTTTACGGCAAGCAGGAGCACAGGATGGGGGAAAAGAAACATGAAAGAAATACGATAATGGCATATAAATATTCCTTAGGTGCGAAGAAAGTGCATGGCGATGCATTGGTTTCTCTCTCTCACTCTCTTTCTCTCTTTCTCTTTCATATTTTTTTTTCGCAGCTAAGCACCTCTTCATCGGCCACAGCTCACCGCACGTCACCATTAATAGCAGCGCTAAAGTGGATTCTCCAGCCAACAACAGCAACAACGACTAGTGTCCAAGCCGTTCAACAAGTAGAATTAAGAGGAAGAGTGAGATGAACTGTGTGTGTGAGCGCACAATAATGCTCTTAGCTCTGAACCTGTTGGACTTCCAAGCAGCGACAGAGTCGCAAAACTGTAAAATGCAAATAAAGTATTTGAAGTGACTGTGACGGAGTGACGGAGTGAGTCGTCGGGGATAAGGACAAAAAAAAGGATTTATTACGAGCTCTCGAATTGTCGCCGTAGGTGAAAGGGAGGAAATGATTGGTAGGAATGTAATAAATATAAAGAAGTAAAGTGCCACAAAACATTGTGTCAGTGGGAAACAGTAAAAGTGGCCAAGAAATTTGAATAAAAGAAATAAACCAAAAAAGCGCGGAAAACGTATAAGACAATTGAATGAACGGGGAAGTTCTAATCCGAGAAGTTCATGTTGAATATTTAATACATGTACATATGTATTTTTTCCTTTGGTTAAGAGTTACAAAGAAACTGAGGGTTTAAGTCGCTATTCTCAGACGAGCTAGCATTTGAAATCACAAAACATATGTACATATATATAATATAATTGGCGCTTTGTAGCCGCTGAGCTATTCCTCCAATTTGTGGTTTTGCGTCTTGATGTTTTTCCAACATATGGAGGGACCTACAATTAATATTAAGCCGCCTCCGAATGGCTGATGGTTTTTTTTATGTGGAGCCTTATTTCATGTCAGAAATACACTCCGAGAGGTTGACAGACCCTTCCAGGTGCGACTGCAATTAGAAAAGTTAGCTTAATTTTTTATTTAAATTACAAACGGGGATTTTGGCCCGAGCTTTTCGAATGGCAGAACACAATGCTAACCACTCGACTACGGCGGCCGCCAAACATAATCGGCTGTAAATTATTCAAACTCCGGACAGTTATAAAACAAAAAGCGAAGACGACATAACGACAAAGGAGTGAAATCAAACATTTTCTTCCTGCACTCGGAGAATTGCAGCCCCACGCAGAGGCGTCTCGTCACGCCCGTTTTTCATAGGTTGCAACAAAATGAAGCCAGAAGCTAGTCCTTCATAGAGAATGCAATCACCAGCATTAAAATATCACTAACTGATACCTAGGAAAGTAGATTTTGCACCCAGTTGCTAGGCAATGGGAGCTCTTAGGTGGTGTTATTCCCTAATGTCATGTCTAAGCAAACGTGCTCAAAGTGATCTACGGCCAACTTCTTTAGGAACAACATTTCGCATGAAAATTCTTAATATTTATTCCTCTTCATTTTTCGTTACCAGCAATCTGCATCCGTTTGATTGCGTTAGCCATGAACACATAAAAAACTGTTATGTCCTGAATATATCCTTACACCTGAAAGTTAATTGGCGCAAACATCTGTATCGATGATGAAAATTTGTATGGTTTATCGCTTAATTGTGCTTGCTCTTTCCTCCAACAACCATGTACGAGTATAGGATATTTCAATTAATGGCTGAGATTTTTTCATTGCTTTCAGTTTTCCTCTCCTTCCTCATAATCTAGTTATGTATCTAGTCTATCCACAACTCATTGCAATTCGGATAATTGAATTTTTTGCTTCGATACTTCTTTATTATTTCTGTTTTTACGATTTTTGTTGAAAAAATGTTCAATTGTAATGACGTTTAAAGCCACAAATATGTTGAATATTTAAGTGGCGAAAAAACGTTTGTTGAGCATGTGTTACCAATGGCAGTTACCGTTGTTTCAATGATAGTATAAATTTACAATTATTGTATTTTTTGTTGTAAAAATAATTTCCCACTTACTGTAGAGTTTTATAGTTCCATCCATTTCTCCTCGTGGATTTTTTGCTACACATTTATAACTGCCATAATCACTCTTCTGTGTATTTGTTATAGTCAGACGCATGGTTGCTTTGTATGAGGGGTTCCCTTGTAATGTTTCGGTTCTGAAATATAAAAAATATGCAATTATTTAAGATAAGAGAACAGATCAGAATATTCCAATATTATAATAATATGAATAGTGTTTTTAACATAAAATCAGACTATAATATCAATAAAAAAGAGACTTTTATAAACAAGTGCGTTTTACTTATAAATACGCGACGTCTTTGCAGAAGTTTATACCCACCAGCGATAGACCTAAAAGATCTCACATTTGGCTACCCGCCTTACAGAGCAAACAGGCCGATACCTATGGCCATTTGTAAGGAGTGGAAAGAGGCTCTGTCTGTAGTATTAGATTCTAGCACAAAAAAAAAAAATACATCAAGCTAATGGGCTGTTCACTGATCGAAAAACACAAAACAATATCGATAATGTTATGATAGAGGAAAGACATGTCTCCAGTATTCTTGACGTGCGTACACTCCGAGGACCCAATATCGGCACGGATCACTACCTTTTGTAGCGAAGATACGCACCCGACTCTGTGTATCAAAGAACGGCCGTCAACATACACAAGAAAAGTTCGTCGTAAAAAGGCTGCAATCAAAATAAACTGCCGAACGATTTTCTACTCGATTTGCACTCCTACCCTCCGAGAGCACTCATCAGCAACTAGGTACAAGGAACCTGTGGGCCTGTGGCATTTCAAGCTCTTTACGTACAGCTGCAAACAAAACTATTGGATGGTCGACCACAACACGTGCGCGATGGGATAGATACCGAGAGCTAAAGATAAAAGCGAGAAGTGGCTGCTGACGAAAAAAGAAAGAGGCCAAGATGTGTGAGTATGAAGAGCTTGAGAAACTGGCCGACAAGGGTAATGCTGAAAAATTCTATGAGAAGATACAACGACTTACAGTAGGTTTCAAGACCAAAGCAAACTCTTGTAGGACACAAAGAGGTGATCTAGCCACCGATGCCCACAGTATATTGAATTTATGGAGGGAACACTCCTCCAACCTGCTGAATGGTAGTGAAAATGAAACATCCGGAGATAATGAAACCGAACCCAATCAACTGTTAACTGGCCTTGAAGAAGTTCGAATAGCAAGCGCCCGCTTAAAAACCAAACAAAGCGGGAGCTGACGGCCTACCAGCAAAACTATTAAACATGGCGGTGAAAAACCGACAAGATTTAAGCATCAGCTACTTTGCAGAATATGGTCGGAAGAAAGCATGACCGATAATTGGAATTGAAGTGTGCTCTGCTCAATCCATAAAAAGGGGTCCTCACAGTCTGCGCCAATTACCGTAGGATAAGCATCCTTAATAACGCATATAAGGTCTTGTCGAACGTATTGTGTGCACAAATTGATTGGACCTTATCAGTGTGGCTTCACCATGCTCCAAGTCTTGGAAAAGAGAATCGAGAAATGAGGATCGACACCAGTCGAAATGCTCTAACGAATCATCGAAAGTTGGATTCAACGGATGGACCATCTGAGACATAGCCGCGGCCAACATTTGAATGCCAAACTGTTCTTTCGAATGATAACAAGCATTCCCCAATAAATTTGAGTTTACTGTTTTTTTTCTTTAAAAAAGTAGGGAACCTCAAGATTTTTCGAATTTTAGCACGGCAGAAAATTTCTTCGGTATCACCAAACAAAGTCCACTACATGGCCGTGCCACTACTAATAGTATGTGACGCCAACCGAAACATACGTTATTGAAAAAAATCAATTACAATTACAATTTATTTTAAACCGTATTTAAAGTATATGTAATATTGGTGATAGGCATGTTCTTCAGGTTGAAGAAATTTCTTGAGCTCAAAAGAGACTGATAGCTTAGTGGATGGCATTAGTGGAGCCATCCATGTTTTAAAAAAGTCTTCCTTGGTGGAACCGTAATAATAATAATGTTCATAGACGTTCATCCGCCAAAGTGAATGCCAGTGATCGGTGACAGACATTCTCTGCCCCCGCAAATCCAACACAAATCTGCGCTGCTTTATGTGACCACTATGGTTTAACAAAGATCTGCCTTTTTACGTCCTTGTCTGTCAAACTTACTAGGATATCAGCCAGCTGGACAGGGGCACATCCGATATTCGAAGCGCGAGCTTCTACACATGGCCCATGTCGGGCACTAAGGCAAGCTGATTACCGCATCTGGCACAACGGTTGCTAATGTTTTCAGGGTGCCCAACGTGGACGCAAGAGCAGGAATTGAATATAGCCCGCAGCTGTAACAGCAGACCTAAAATGTTGACTCACACATATATATATAAGTATATAAAAAACTTTAAAATAGATTAATATGTGTTGGAAAGAAAAAAAATCCAACTGTTGACAAAATTTTTGACAATTTATACAAGAAGTAAGTAAGTCAATTCATTCAATTAACCCAAATGTAGCAATCATTCCAAATCAAAAATGATATTGAATGATTTATAAAAATATTTCTTTGTAGATTTAAGGTGTGACTTGTTTCACTGTGGCAGTATTGGTAGAGAATTGCCATATAAACATGTCTATATTTTTTGGTTGGCTCACTGTATATACTGAGGAAATACCTATATATATCAAATCCGTAAAATTAGTTCGGTTATTAATAAACTATAGAAAAGAGATAAATCCAGTCGTTTTCCAAATTTCGTTAAGTACAAATGTGAATGGTCAAACTAATGCGCTTCGTAAAGAGAACAAACACGCACCACTACATTTAACATGGAATATACATTTATATTCATATATGCTCTCATACTAATACTAACATTCTACAATATGTGTATTTTTTTGTTATAATTATTTTCTATTATAGCTTTTTTTATTCTGGAAACACTCTCTAAATGATCTTAAGGTCAAGGTGATAAGAAAATAAATGTACATATGCATCTGTATACACGAGTAAGCACCTACTATTTGATTCAAATGATGAAGAATACTACAACAGATCGAAAACTATATATGCTCTATACATACTAAGTAAAATTTCACAAAAAAATTCAACTAAGTGACTTGACCTAGACAATATTTCACTGTGAGCAATGAAATAATTAAATAAAATAAAATAACCTAAAAGAAAATAAATTTTCCTGAAATAAAAAAAAAAATTAAAAAATAAAATAAAATGAAATGAAATATAATAAAATATAAAATAAACTGAAGGAAAATTAAATGAAATAAAATATCTTGAAAAAAACTAAAGTGAACTAAATTATAACAAATAAAATACAAAATTAATAAACAAATAAATAAATTAAAATAAAAAAAGAAAATAAAATAAGACAAAATAAAATGAAATAAGATAAAACAAATAAAATAAAATAAAAAATAATTAATTAAAATAATATAAAGAAAAACTAAACAAATAAAATGTAATAAAATAAAATAAAATTAAAGAAAATGAAATAGTTTAAAATAAAATAAAAAAGTAAAATAAAACAAATAAAAAAAATAAATGCAAATTAAATAAAATGTAATAAAAAAATTAAATGAAATAAATTGAAATTAAAAATAAAATTAAATGAAATGAAATAAAATAAAAGAAAATAAAATAAAAAATTAAGAAATAAGTAAAATAATATCAAATAAAAAAAGTAAAATAAAATAAAGCAAAATATAATAAAATAAAAAATAAGTAAACTTAAATAAAATTATATAAGAAAATTAAATAAATTACATTTAATAAAATGGAATAAAACAAATAAATAAATAATATATAATAGAGAAATATTATTTTGAAAGGATAAAATTTTTTAAATAATTTTATAGTTTTAATTTCTTAACTTAAACATAATATATATTTTTGCACAGGTTAGGTTACATTGGTCCTTTGTAGAGCCAGATTAATGTTCTTCTACGAAGTTCAGGTGAGCCTAAATATCCAATTTCGGTTCCTCCACTATTTCCTTGAACTGCAAAACTCCGCGATATGTAAGACGAGCGCTAGCTAAGGCCACACTGCACTTCGTAATTGTGTCACTGCTCCTAATGAACATTCTCCCTGCAGTAGATCGTGGCGCGTCATTAGTCCAACAACTTTTCTAATGCTCTTACATAATCGTGTAAAGAACAAACATCCGTTTCCCTTGCATTCCATAGCACTCTGATTCGGCATCGCTTTCTTTTGGGAATTTTATTATAGAATGGCTTTAGCGACTTTTATATCTCCTGCACTCGATGTATGCTCGTATGTATCAGAATAATACCTTTACATTTAGAACTAAGTCGCTACTAATTATAAATAAGAATTTCATTAGTATAATTGTCGCAATAACGGGACAATGGCCGAAACAAGGCCGGGACACTGGCTGATGGGGACTCACGGTAGAAGGACGTTCTCATGACTGCAGTCGCAGCTGCAGAGACACAGGCGAGGGGTGCTCGGTAAATAACTACTTCCGCCACTGTCCAGCCTGTAGTACGGCCGGACAACGTTTCCTCGGGAACCTTTACTTCGACTGCCTTGCAAAACAGCAAACACCAACAACTTATACCCAATTTAAAAATATTTCTTTTATGTATAATACATCGTAGATAGCTTGAATTGAAAAGTTGTTTGCTGTTAAAATTCTGTGAGTGAAAACGAGCTGCCAGGATATCTAAGTACTGCAAAAAACATTGCTTTATTTAAATTTTTAATTAAAAAAATTTTTAGATTTAGAGAACCCCAGCAATGTGCTGACATAGTGGAGAGTACATTTTCAAACTTTATTAGACCCAAAAGCTTCCACAACCTAAATCGCATTGAATATGCTATTGATAATAGCGAGGGCGATATGGGAGACCATGTATGTATGTTTTCCTAAAAAAAAAAGAAAATATTGACAAATCTGTATATGCGAGTATTTATCACTTTTAAATAATAAAATATATATATGGATGTACATATGTACATTTGTGCAAAGCAATAAAGATTGAAACAAAAAAAAAAAAATGGGTCACAACGAGAATTTGCGAGCAACAAAAGGCAAAATTTTTTGCACAAAGAAAATAATAAAAAAACAGAATAAAATATAATAAAAGCAATAAAATGGAAGCAAAATAATAGCAGATTAAACGAAATCACAATGACACTGACCGGCGGTGCGAGATCAGCGAGATTAAGGCGACAGCGCCGCGGTTAGGTGTTGTCTGTGTCGACTTTGCTCGTCATTAGCTGAACATAGCAGCGCAAATTGGGCAGGCAGACACTCGCTATTAGTTGAGCCTTACAAGTGCGTGAATGCGGAGCGGTTTGAGGAAGAAATTTCGGCAGTAAAAAAAATTTTAAAACACCATTGCATTATTTAAAGACAAACTTTTTTATATATATTTTTTTTTTTGCGAGGAGGTCAATGCACGGTTATAGAAATTTGTCGGTGTCATAGCTCATCGTTGTGGATAACAAATTCGCGTTTGTACGTGTGCGTGCTTCTGAGTACCCTTGCCGCGACCCTCGTACGATGTTAAAATTGAGCATAATTTGCACATTGTTCGCGTCCATTATTTGGCGCACCACGCCAACCAATTGTAGCCGCCCCAGCACCACCGGCGGCAATGTGAATCAAATTTTGGCAACGAATATACAAAACTACATGGACACAACGGCGCGTCCGTGCGAAAATTTCTATCAGTATGCTTGTGGCCATTGGCCACAACAGCACATCGAGCAATTGGATTTCGGCGATACGCTTGGATTGTTAGATTATGAGCTCAACCGCAAGTTGGAACATTTGTTGCGGCGCCAAGCGAATGCCAGTATGAGTTCCAGCAGTAGTACGACAACGGCAACTTCACCAACCCCAGCCTCCGTTGACAGCTTAATTGATGTAGTCTCGAATTTTGTCTCTGCGGCTGCTGTGTTGGAAGGCCCTTACGCAATGGTAGGTGACCTCGTTGTTGAGCCCCAACCCGTGTCGACGAGCACCACCGCGGCAACGGTCACATCGACGGCGTCGACATACCTGGCGGAGGACACGGTTGGTGAACCGTTGATTTACGAAAAAGCACGCACCTACTATCGCTCTTGCAAGAAGGTCAAGCCATATAATCTGAAGAAATATTTGCAGCTCATACAACCTGGTTATGGCGCACACTGGTGCATTTTAGCACGCAACGGTGGCAAGAAGTGGCATGCTGAGCAGTTTGACTGGCTGATGGCGATTGCCAAGTTACGTTTATACGGATTGAATGGTGTGTTGTTAAAAGAGGAAGTGCTGCCGCGTTGGGATGAGTCAAGCAGTAACAGCATTTATTTGGACAAGCCGAATTTGGCCGAGACGGAACCTACTGAGGAGGGCATAATGATTGAGCTCTTACTGGATATTGGCCAAACGAAGCGCGCAGCCAACGAAGTGGCGCGTGAGGTCCATACGTTCTCGTTGCGTCTGCACAAATTACACGAGATTGAGGATGAAGAGGGTGCCAAGGAAATGCAGCTGGGGTATTTGCAGGAATATATGCAGGAAATTAATTGGCTGGAGTTGCTCAAACAACTTAAGGGCTCCTCCACGGACCTCGCCACCACGGTGATCATACAAAACATACCGTATATGCGCGCAATGGTGCGTCTGCTCAACGACACACCGAAAGATATACAGTGTAATTACATTATGTTGAAATTCCTGCTCTATTTAAAACAGCGCGGCCCGGCAGAGATCTCAAAACATGAATGCATATCGAGTTTACGGCGTGCGATGCCGCTGGCTATGAGTTATATTATTGGGCGACAATACTACAAGGATGCTGCGCATACGGACGAGGATGTGCAAGAGATCTTCGCACATTTGCAACAGAAGTTCTACGAGGTGATAAGTGATAATCGCTTGCAGTTGCAACGACCCATTGTTAACTCACTACTGCAAAAGATTACCAGTATGCGACTGCAAATCGGTAATTCGCCACGCAAAGCCTCGCCGGAGTACTATGATGAGTATTACGGACGCGTTGAACTTGATCCAAACAACTTCTATGTAAATCAACTTAGTTTGCTTCGTTTAGCTGTAGAGAAGAGTCACGAAAGTTTAGAGTCAGTGATTGCCAGCAACTTTAGCGCACCAGAAAATGATTCATATGTGTTGCTTGATTGGCTGGGCAGCTCCTCCTCGCCACTCTATGTGAAACCAAAGAATTTGATTATTGTACCCTACAGTTTCTTGCAAATGCCCACTTATCATCGTAACTTGCGTAACATATTTAAGTACTCTGTGCTCGGCTTCAGTATAGCACATGAGCTTCTTCACGGCTTCGACTCGGCGGGCATCGATTACGACAGTATCGGCAATATAATGGGTCCGAGCGAGGAAATTGCCGCGAATCATCGGTTTATGCAGGGTCTCCGTTGTATGCAGAATGAACTGGCCACCGGTTCGCGTACTCTTAACGAAAAGTTGGCGGACTACGAAGGCTTCCGTCTGGCCTACGAGACCTACTTCAACGGTAATGTTTCAAACCACAAATTCAGCGGTCTGGTACCCAAGCTGCTGCCAGAATATACGGAGAAACAATTGTTTTTCATTAATTTTGCGCAATTCTTCTGCAGCAAAGTGCAGCGGAGTCTGAGACAAACGGCATATTTGGAACATGCGATCGATGAGTTGCGCGTTCTGCAAACGCTGGCGAATTTCGAGGAATTCTCACGTGAATTCAATTGTGAGCGACGAGCGAAAATGCAATCGAAACATCGTTGTAAGCTATGGTGATTAGTTGGATAAGGAAATAGGCAGAGTAGAGAAATATGAGTAAAAGAAAACTGATACAATTTGAGAGAGATAGTACACACATACATACGTGTATGTATAGAAATACAAAAAAAAACGAAAAATGTACACAAGAAATAATCGTTATGACGGCAGCGTGAGCTTCAAGCTTGATCGTGGCTTAAGCTTTTTTTGTAACTGTTGTTTTGGGAATTATGTATAGTAAATATGTAGATATGCAGAAGTATGTATACGTATCGATGTTTGTTTGTATGTAATATAATAAAATTTTCTTTATAAATTAATTCAACTGAGTATAAATAAATAAAAATTAATTTTATCATAGTATTATTTTGTGAGCTTTTCACATGCAAACATGGACTCAGCATTTAATACTTGAATTGGTGAATGCAATAAGATTTCTAATTCATTACTGAGATGTGTCCCAAGCTCTGTATTTTTAATGTAGCTGAATTATTTAATGCATGGAAGGTAGAATCGAGGGCTCCTTGCGAACGTTATCAGCGCAACGGGGCAGAATTGCAAAAAAAAAACAATTTCTATACGTTTTACAGACACTAACGCATATTATTCACCATTACGTTACCACGTCTTGTTTCCCACCCTTATAGTCCGACCCATAAGCATACCTGTTGAGATGCTTATGGCTAAACAAATAAATGAATTCTTAAGCAAGCACAACCTAAAATCTCCGCTTCAATCAGACTTCAGGAAAACCAGCTACTAAAGGTCACTGAGGAGAACATTCTATCGACCATGGATCATGATCATCTTAACCTGCTTTCCTTACTTGACTTTTAAAATCCGTTAGACATTGTCAACCATGAGTGTGAGTTGAAAGCGTACTATGGTTTTAGTTTGAGTGCTTTAAAGGTTATGAAAAGCTGCTTAGCTGGTTGATGTCCTCATAAAATAATAGGCTGATATCACCGCCGTCAAAGAAATAGGACGGAAGAAGGTGGAAATTTACTACAGCGGGGAGAGAGAATCTCTTGCCGAGTAGTGGCATTCACTGCGGTGGTTGAACTTCTCGCCACAATCGCCATCAAAACGAAATTTTTACCGCTGATTCATGGGCGGAAGAGAATGATGATTTGACCAAAGCGCATAGAGCGCACTTATGAGCGGTGCCCCCGCCACGACGTCAAAAAAAGGGCTGATGCTGATCGACATCGCCAGGACCCGAAATATGGTTGTCAGTAGCACTAGATTTTACCCATCTCTAGATCGAAAAACTCTCAACCAGGATGAAAGCATTCCCGACGATTGGACGCCGCAGTCTACGCCAATTATGGTGGGATAAGACTTCTTAACATCGCACATAAGTTCCTTTCGAGCGTATTGTGTGAAAGACTGAAGCCCACTATCAACAAACTGGTTGAACCTTTTCAGTGTGTCTTTAGACCTGATAAGGCCCTTTGCGAGCCGTACGATACCAAACAAGGTTTCAGACACGGTGATTCCTTATAGTGTGACTTCTTCAACTTATTGCTGAACGTACAATCTTCTATAACAGTGTACCGATGATATTGGTATTATCGGCCTCAACAACCGCGCCGTGAGTTCTGCTTTCTGCCGACCCGATAAAGAAACGATGCAAATGGATCTGGTAGTGAATGACGGCAAGACGAAATATTTATCTCCTGTAATCAAACAAACAGTCATCTTATTCGCGATTCGTTCAAAACTTTGAACTCGTAAATAACATTCAGTTGGAGAGTGATCTTCGTATTTCCAACTGGCACCAAACAGCGAAGAGAAGAAGAAGAATTGCAAGACTCAGCCAAATTTAACTTTAAGTGAACATTTATTAATTGTTTCAATTTCTTACATATTCTCTTCGTTGTTATGTTATTATTATTTTTGTTAATTTATCCTTAATGTTAGTTTGGATTTTAATCACGTTTATTCTAAATCACAAATATTTTAAATTAATAATTCCATAAATACTGATTTGGCTCAAGGATTTTCAGCCACTTTCCGTTTATTTTAATTTTAAAAAAGTAACCAGGAAAAATTATTATCACGTTATCATAAGTTCTTTTTAGACGCTAAGGCATTTATGAAATAAATAAAATAAATAAAAAAATGTTTTCGAGCTCCATGTGATCATAAACATGATTGAATAAGACAAAATTTTATATGTAGTGACATCTCGTTTTGCCGTTTTCTTAGCTCAACCTTATATTTTGGGAAAACAGCAAAAACGGCAAATTAAAAATACAAGACTATTTATGAAAATCGATATTTTATCCTTCAAAGTATTCTCCATCGACTGCAACATACTTATGCCAGCGCTTGATCCAATCCTCGAAACATTTTTCATATTCGGGTTGTGGTATACCCATCAGAATCATCTTCGAGTTTCCCTTAATCTCATCTCGGATGCTGAAACGCGTTCTACTTGAGTCGACCGAAAAGGAAGTGGTTGTTGAATGGCATTCGTTTAGTTTCTAGTCAAATGTTCATGGATAACGATGGCATTGTGCGATTGCGCGTGATCATGATGCAAGATCCACGAGCTGTTTGCTAACAAATCCGATCTTTTTTGACGCGCTGCTTCACGCTAACGCCTCAGAACGTCTAAATAATAATGCTTGTTTTGCGGTTTGCCCTTGTGGGAGGAATTTATGATACACAATTCCTTTGTACTCCATAAATCTGTGATCATCGCGTTTTTTTCGGCTCCACTCATTAAGTATCGATGTCGAAACACTTTTGTAACATTTTCAATGTCTTCGCACCGTTGAAACCTTTTTTACGCAAAATTTAATGCAAATTTAATTCCATTTTTAAAATTATACCAAATCGAGTACCCACACAATCCGAATGTATTCAAGACGACGCCACTTTCATAAATTTCAAGCTGTCATAGAATGTTGTATAGAATATCACTAAGAAATGTAACAACCTTAAAAATGAAATATAACTCAATTTGTGCGTTTGAGAGCGTCACATGGTAGTGATCCCGGGAACTCTTTAATCAAGATAACATGTGAAAGTATATAAAATATCATTTCCATTTTTTCTCATCTTAGCTGAAAGAAATCTTAGATTTTCTAAAAGGTTAAGTTTCCTAATTAAATATTCCATCATATTTTAGAGGGAACTTTCAGTACTTTGTCCTTTAGTAGATCTTATTTTTCACAGTCTTCAATTTCGAAATTATATTTAATAAAAGATATCCTAGAAAATGCATACAGTAGTATATAATTGGTTGATAAAAAATTAAAATTAATGAATTTACTTTATAAATATTTTTGTAATCTCAACTTAGGTCGCGTAGGAATTATGTTATTGGCATGCTTTGTTCTAGAAAAGTGTTCCAAAAAAAAAAAACATATATTAACTATGTTTTCAGATGTACTATCAAGTATATGTCTTGTTAAAATATATACTGCAGTCTTAGAAACATTCATTAGGAGTTAGTAGATTAGCTGCATTTAGAAATCAACATTATTAATGTTTAGTAAACTGTAATTGTATGCAATTAACTTGGAATGCTGCCATGCGGGTGATCATGGTTTCGAACCCAAACGGACCAATAGTCAAAGGCATGGATAATTAATTAAAAGCGCCAGCTTGAGCTATCTTTGTACCGAAGTCTTTTCAACTTTCAAGAACATATCAATTTTTGATGGTTCTTAGAGTCGATATAAATATATTGGAATTTATATGTGTAGAATATCAAATTGTTTACCTTCTAATGCTAATATACGTACATATATGCTTCGGACCAAAGTCTATAAACGATTTCATGCTACTGAAAGGTGTAAAAATAAATTTTAAATTTTCAAATTAAATTAAGCGTTCCTCGGTGGGTAATGTCAACCCCTCCGAGTAATTTCTGGCCTGATATTATCTTTTCTGAAAAGTCAACTAAGAGTACTTTATTTTTGAATTAAAATCGAAAAATTAGTTCAAATATTGATGTTTATGGCGGTTTATGGAAATTTAAATGTGGGTCACACCACTCACTGTCCTTAACACTGAAATACAATAGTATTGTACATCCCCTGTGAGTTCCTTACAAGCCATGGGCGCTTTTCGAAGATAATGAAAATTGTTTATTTACATTTACTTTTATTATCAGGTAAGTAACAGCAAATTTAAGTGGAATTGTGCGTTTAATATGTATATGTTAAAATTGTAGACCTGTCGAAAATGGTAGAAGAAAGATTTTTATTATTTTTTTCAGAATTACTTTAGCACATTTAAATTTTCCTTTGACAGGTACAAGTTCCAACTTTTAGCTTGCTTTAAAAAAGAGGGTTGTTTATATTTGTTTAGTTGGCGTCAATTCTAATATGGATACCACAAAGAACATTTCACATTCAGGTCGGCGAAGTGAAGTTTGTGATGACGATATCAAGGCTTTAATCGAAATATATCATCTTGTAACTGAGCGTGAGATTGGAGAGAAGTTTAGTATACCAAAATCAACCGTTCATTATCAGATATCACGTCATGGACTGGTAAAAAAAACTTGATATTTGGGTGCCACATGAATTGAAAGAAATTCATTTAACAAGCCGCTTAAACGTTTGTGATATGCATCTTGAGCGCACTGAATATGATCAATTTTGTAAGCAAATCATAACTAGAGATGAAACATGAATTGTTTATTGAAAACCATCATGGCGCCACCGACTACTTCAAAGGCTGATATTCACCAAAAGAAGATTAAACTGTCAGTTTGATGGGATTGAAAGTGTGTGGTATATTTTGAGCTCCTTCCAAGTATCAACTATTAATTTGAATATCAACTGCTAACCACTGAATTTGACGTCCATCAACAAGAAGCGTCCAGAATTGGTAATCGTAAAGGTGCACCGCCAGACTACCATTTGTTTGTTGTAAATAGTAAAACTTTCGAAAATGATGAAGCTATAAAACCATACTTGGTTCAGTTTTTTGCGAAAAAAGGCCTGGAAATTCTATGAGCGTGGAGAAGCTGCCGTCATCCAATAAAATGGAAATTAAATCATTGATTAAAACGCATTATAAAAGTAAAAAAAAAATATATTGAATTTCTTTTAAAAAATTACCAGTTTCTTTTGACGCAACCCAATATATATATATATATATATATATGTATATACATAGGTAGTAGCTTTGCTGATGATATAGTACAATTGTAATGACACCGCTCTTCACCTGTAGGTACATCTTAATATGATCGAAAAAATTATTAAATGATTGAAAAAATAGAAGTTAACCCACAGAAGTCCGTTCACATAACGCCTTCATTCAGAACTGAGAAATGTTAATAAACGGTTCTCAAATACCTGGAAGTAAAATTGTCAAATACCTTGGTTTACATTTGGACAGAAGGCCCAGTTGTAAGAGGCACATGAAATAAAAACTGAACCAAGTCGTTCAAATCTAAACAAATCAATTGGTTTCGCGATCGTGACTTAGCTGGCTCTGCGAAGCAACATTTAAGTCATTATAGATGTACAATTATGGAGGACACCGAGGAGTATAAGAATCATTGAATGTGCTACTTGACGTATAGTCTTAAAAATGTACCTTACCTATAGGCCCAGATAGACTGTCTATAAAAACATTTTAATCAAGGCCAGCATAAATAAAACTCCAGCTCATTTGGAAATATTTTGTAAAATGTTAAATACTAAATAATATAATTTCTAATTTTAATACATAAGGAGAAGTATACACTACATGTGTACGCGCTTATGTACATCTTATCATAAAACAATATTTTTAAAATTATTTTTAACTACTTATTCTTAACACTCATATTCTAGTTGCTTGTGAATTTCATAACTTCTGTTCTTCTTAACGGTACAGTGTGCACTTCTCTTGACCATGCATTGCATCGCCAATCTTGCAGTCATACGCCTCCGCGAAAGGTTCGAAATTCATCAGGGACAGTTGCAAACGAATATCGTCTGAATCGTGATCCGTGAATTTACCTTTCAGATTGCCACAGAAAAACTGAGCAAAGCTCAAGAAGAATAAACGCTTGGCGGGAATGGCAGTAAAACTCGGCTGGCGCGCATTTAAACTGGAGTTAACACCGAAGAGTGTATCATAAGCAACGCTCAACCCCAAGAAGTCGGCAAATCGCTCATCCACACTTTCGGTTTCCGTTTGCTGCAGACACTTCAGCGACGACTCAAAGTGCTCATTTTCGGCAATGCTATCCCCCACTGCACGAGGATTGCCGAACATATCGAACTGTATACCATTTCCATCGAAGCCGTGCATAATCTCATGCGTGAGCACAAAACCAAAGCTGCCCATTTTCAAGATGTCATGCATATTGTGGTGAAATATTGGTGTCTGCAGGAAAGCAAATGGAATGACAACTAAGTTTTGGCGAAACAAATAATATGGCGTACAACTACGCGCCGTATCACCATCGCCAATATAATAATACTGTTCGGCTGGGACCGGTCGCGCCGTCAGCAGTTCGTCTTCTTTACTCGCGCGCAATTTCAACAATTGCATATGATTTTTGTGGTAATCATTCGTGGTCATATGTACATCGGCGTAATGCTTGTCGATGAAATGCTCGCTAACATCGGCCGGCAAATTCCCGATATTTATACGCATGCGGTTTAGTTTTTCGGACAAATAATTCAATTGTTCCTCATCTAATTGCATATGGTTTTTGCGTAGCTTCGTTAAAAATGCGCCTTTCAACAATCCAAATAAGTGATTAACTTCCGCTTCGTGGCTCGCTTCGTCGCCGTAGAACTCACGCTTATAGAGAAAATTTACCCCCAAATCCATTTTGGTACGTACGTCCCACATACATTCGATCTTCGTAAAGTCGTTCACACCATCAGCGATGAGGTAGTAAAGAAATTTATACATTATATAATTGGCAATCAAACTGGGCTGGGTTTGCTTTACTAGTTCGTCGAGAGCTACGAAATATTGCCAATTGTTTATCTGCACCTCAAAGTCCAGGCTGAGCGTGTAGCCCAAAACCAGCTGAAGATAGAGTTGCCATGGTATGCCCGGCATGCGGACTTGCAACTCATGCAGAGTCAGTACCTCAGCTTCACTTTCATCGGTGGTAAGGCTTAGCGTTCTCAGCTGCTTCTCGAAGTTCTGTAATTGTTTGGCCACTACAAACGCGCGCATATTCGGTACACCGGCCTTGGTGAGTAGTGCTAAAACTTTCAACAAGTGCCCGGAACTCTCTTTTTTTATCATCTCTGGTTTATCTAAATCGATAATGTATACGTTGCTTTCCTCCTGCCTTGGCAAAACGATATGCTCGAAGAGCGCACCCTTAAACCCATAACGGCGTAGTTTAGCTTGCGTAAATAGCCAATTGAAGCGTTTTGCCGGCCAGGTGGCGTTAGCTTTACTGATCTCGGACATCAGTGGCCAATCTACGTAAGCACTAGGTCTCACCAACTGTAGATAGCGTTGTATATGTAAATTCTTTGTGCGCTTACAGGTGCGATAGTAGAGGTAAATCTTATCATTGATCGTCTCGTTGCCCACTTGGGGGTCGCCTTGCAGCTGATAGTCTTGAAAATAGTCAATGAGGCGTTTATTCACTTTGTGATCGATCAAACCAGACACCTCGGTGTAGTATTCAGTTTGGTGCTCTTGAGCCCATTTGCCACAGGCATAGCCGTAGAAGTTGTTGCAGGGATTCTCTGTGAAATCCATGTAGCTTTCGATGGCTTGCATTTGTTTGGTATTCACGCTGCTGTTGGCCGATTCCGCCGCGTAGGAGGAGGTGAGATTTTGGTGTGTAAGTGTTAACAACAGGAGCAGCGCTAATGCTGCTCGCGGTATGTGTGTGGATGTGTTTAGTGAGCGGTTCATGGCGAGCATCAAAATAATTCACACTTGGAAGAGAAGAGAATTTATATTTATTAAAGAAAAAGTTATTTTTAATTATTTAAATGTATTCACAAACCATAATTAATTTCGTTGTCTTAATGATTAATTGATTTATATTTTCATTCTCAATTTATTTTTATTTTATTTTCAAAAATAGTTTTGGAATTTTAATGTCAGAATTTTTTATTGTATTTTAGTAAGGGACAATTTTAATTAAATGGTTTCCAATTAAAGTACTTTATTAATGCTATGTAGTTTAATATATAGTATATTATATTGTTGTAATTTTTTTATTTTTACTAAAATTTAATTAAAAGATTCATTCACTTCATCTTAAAAATTTTTTTTGTAAATTAGTAGGTAACGTTTATTAATGTTTTTTAAACATTTATAACTTGTTTTCTTTAATATCAACATTTTTTTTATAATTAGCTCAGACTTAAGTTATTTGATTTTATTAAGTTTTTAATGAAATTTGCCACACTTTTTTATTTTAATTGTTTTAGTATAAAAAAATATATATACTTTTGAGCGAATTTGTTTTTTTTACAGCACTTATTATCCATTTTATTCACAGTTTACAGTTTTTAATATAAATAAACATATGTTTTGAAAATAATTTTTACTTTCTTTAGCTTGTAAAATTATTGCACTCTTTTATTTCATAAATTTAATCAAAAAAGTTTAGTTTAATTCAATATCATCTTTAGTTTTACTTTCGTTTAATTTGCTCAAATTAATTGTTATTTTTTGTATAATTAATCAGAATGGAAAATGCCTCACACTCAAATTACGCCACGCGTTCGTTTGCGTCTCTCCGGCTTGACTATTCTATGTTTAGTAAAAAATTCGATCAAAATGCGAAAATATCCCCGCAACCAATATTTAAATTATTAATCAATTATTGTGAAAATATATACATATGTACATACATACATACATACATACGTGTGTATGCGTCTGCTTGTGTACGTTTTAGTGATAAAGCGCAGATGTGAGGTATGCAAAATTAAAAGTAAAAATATACTCATTTATTTGTAATTACCCACACAACCGGCATATTTATGTACTTTTAACGGAACCAGCGGAACCTCAGAGCGTATGTTTTTGCACTAAGACTCTGGGGAGCTTTTGGTCATATGCTGATAAGACTGGAGGGTCAGTGCTTGTTTTTGAGTAGATTTAAGTGGAAATTCCTACCTACAGAAGACAAATATATGACCATTAGGGTGACTCCTAAATAAAAGGCTTAAGAACAAAATGTGAAGAGCTGCATTTTGCCATCTGTTAAACTTTAAACATTCAGGCATTTATGACAATGGATTACATCACTGTTTGCCTCATTCCACCTCAAACGAAGCTACTGTAATTGAAAGTGTATCCGAGAACCCTAATGCGTCTATTTCTCGATGTTCTCATGTGTGGTGAGTTTCTTACGCCACAGTATGGGGTATTATGTACGTGGATTTCCTGCTACATCCATATAAAGTCGGATTTACGCAATAATCTGAAGCCAGCTGACCATTCACAACGCATCATTGCGATAGATATTTCCTGACTGCGTAATATCCTGTCGTGAAAATGTCCACCGAGATCGTGCGGATTTACATCGTTGGACTTTTTTTTTGCGAGCTATGAGAAAGTCTTTGTTTATGTTATGCCATTTAAATGATATAGTGTTTCACTTATTAAGTCAAAGTTATAAATTCATAATAAAAATGTATTTTCATAAAAAAAAATTGTTTTAAATGTATTTTGTTTACGTTTACTTTCGAAATCGCAAAGATATATGTGATGGCCACCTAACGATTTTTGGCCGAACACCTTCTCAAATAGTACCTTGTGTGAAATGGAGTGCCTTATGGTTGATTTTCTAAAACGTCTTAGAACGACTGGTAGATTTTAATGAGAGGAGGACCGCAATAAGAATTTTTTTTCGCAATATAATTTTAAAGAAATTTGTCTGGGCACGCACTGATACTAACTCTACTAAAGCTGCTGACAATTTATAAAAATTAAAAATATTAAACAGGTGGCAACTTCTAGCAAAAATATTTTTAAATACATAAAAAAGTTTTTGCTTGTGATTCCCATTCAATTATTTATTTTTAAAATTCTTTTGTCTCAGAGTCTTTATTGCATTAAATTGTAAGTAGGGTGGCAGCACTTCAAAAATCCTTCCTTTTGTGAGTTTTCTGAAATCTCAGTCCAGGCGAATTTATAGAAGGTGAAGCTGTCACATCATAAGATTGCTTGTTCTTCCTTCCATTTCTAACAAATTACATAAACAAAATATATGTGAAATATAATTTGACATTAAGAACTTTTTTCTACACCATCAAATATATTGAACGGTTTTACTTTTTGACGTTTCGAAACTACTATTACACAAACAAAATGCAAAGGCTTTTTGTTTTTGTATTGTTTATTATTACAATAAAAAGTTGTTACATTTATGTTGATGTAGCCGATTTGAGTGACACCCTAATCTTTTTCCCCCGTGTATAGCTTTACCGGAAGCAAATACATTCATATATATACAAATAACTCTGGGAGCTACGAGCAGCATTACGATCTCGAGTCAGTGGACTCAATAGCGGTTGAGTCCGAAAATTGTTGCGACTCTCGCCAATTTGATAAAAAAAAAGCATTCCGCATTTCAAGTACAATGTACAATCTGTGGGCTTTAAATCTTATACTTTTCAATTAACAAATATGAAATGCTTCATGAATCAACAATTTTCAACACATTTCAAAATCACTGCACAAATCAATCAATCATTGCACTCTTCGGTTCTCGAGTAAAGTTCAAGTTCAAGCAGAATCACTAATTTGCCGTTGTTGGCAGTAATTAACATTTGAGTCACATATGTATCATACAAAACATGATTACACATATAGAGATAGATTCTCATATAAGTACAGATATATACATATATATATATATGTATGTAAGTACGATCGTTTAACCCTTGAGCGCTGAAACGAATCATAAGAACGCTTACAGTGGAAACGAACATACGTTCATACACATACGTACAATTTTATATTTGTTTGTTAATGTATATTATGTAGGTATGTATGTGAACAATATTAAGTGATTCACATAGCGCCACTTAATTGCTCAGTGATGGGATTCACTAGCGACGATTTTAACGATTTTAATACTCGCTGTGCATAGATATTTTAACAGTATTTGATATCGCTTGATCAGCTGTTGTTGCTAACTACTCGTCAAATCACTTATCAAACGACGCATAAATTGAAATTGTTAACGCCATCGACAAAACTGAAATTTTATTAAGTTAAAAACATTTAATAAAGTGTCAAAATTAATTAATGTCTCATCCGGAGTACCCCAAGGTCTGTTTCTATTATTCATAAATGATATATCTTCGGTAATAAAGCATTCAAATATCATGTTATATGCCGATTATATATAACTTTTTATGTGATATATAGACAACTCAGCTATCTGGTGTGCTAACAATCAAATGCCTTTGAACCTTAAGAAGTGTAAGATCATGTGCTTTTCACGAAAACTTATACTGTGGTCTAAAGAAAGTCTTCAACTTTTTTGATTTGGAGGTTACGATGGACCCTAAGCTCGACTTTCATCTTCATCTTAATACCACAGTCTTAAAAGCTAACAATGATTTGGCCTATGTCAAAAGAATTCAAAGACCTTATGAAAGTAAAGCACTTTATACGACTTTGGTGAGGCCAATATTAGAATATGACTCACTGATATGGAACCCAATTATCAAGTTCATTCGGATAAGTTAAAGTCTGTTCAAAATCAATTTTTGCTTTTTGCGTTAAGACATTTCCGATAGAGAACTCTACGATAAATCTTCGTCCCTTTACCAACCGTATAAAGCTTCTAAATCTACCTGCTCTCGGAGGTCATAGGAAATATTAGGCGAATTGTTCGTAGTAAAACTTCTTAACGCATCAATTTGTAGTTCATGGCTTTTATCTGAGATAAACTTTATTGTTCTAACTCGTGTATCTAGACAGTTTATGCCTTTACTATAAAGTCATTTAGAACAAATTACGAATTATATGAACCCTTTCGCCGATTGTGTAACAACTTTAATTTTCATTCCAGCACCTTCGATCTCTCAAACTCGCTTTTCAACATCAAACAAAATATTCTTATTTCTTTCAATTTCAGCTGTTGAATAATTATGTTTTCTGCAGCTGAACAGTTTTAAATCTCGACGCTTAATAAACACTTCCCAATCATGTCTCGGCTGATTCCGTACGTTATGCGGATGTCGCCTCTGATGTCGGTTGTGCGGGTGGATGGTAAATGTTGGGCTTATTTTTATTATTATTATTATTAAAAAAATCCTTTCGAATATTTCTGTTTGAATGCAGGTGAGTTTTAAATTCTATTTAGATTAATCCGAGGTTTAGTTGGTGGAATCGTTTCATTTTCAACAAAACGGCAAATAAATAACATAAATATCTATAGGAAAACATGTAATTAATGCAATAAATAATATTATGCTTAAAGTTTCTAACCGCCTTGCGATTCTTCGCAACTGGTTGGCATCAATGTCCAGTTGTAGGCAATGTGGAATATCTATGAGCGCGTCGTCCGTAAGTCGTTGTATCCATCGAGTAGCAGACGCAATCAATAATTCGATGTGTTAAAGATGCCATGATAATATTTTTCACGATCGAAATAAAGAAGTAAGCTACCATTTGTTGTCGTGAGGGCTAGAAATAATGAAGAAGCCTATTTCCACCACTATGTATACCATCTATCAACGCAAATAGTAAATTAAAAATTTTTCACTATATTTGTACATGATCCTTATCTCCAGGTTTTGGTGGTAAATGCTGAACACTCAGGAGCGCAGAATGATCCATATACATATTTGGAGCTCCTCAACAGTGTTGAGAGTCACGCAACGTGGTTTGCTAAACTTTGTAATGCATTCCAAGTAATTCAATACAAATAATTGCTCTCGAGAAATTAATTTTGTTGTTTGTGAGTAATCTTTGTGCTTTTCGCATATTTTAAATTTTTTTTAAGCTGTGATATCACCTTTCCTGCATTTTAATAAAAAGGAAATATCAGTGGCCGATTATCGTTAAAAATGAGTTAGCGAATCACATAATCGATAGTTTAAGTGGCGAAATTCCTAAGTTAGCGATTCGACAAATCGTATTGAATTAGTGAATTCTCCTACAGATCTAAGAAAATTATATTGCATTCACACGTAGGTATACTATATTGTTTTCATATGTACGTATGTATATGCATATGTATATATATATTATCAAAAAATGCGCAAACTGATGTGCACATGTACATATAATACCCATAGCAAAATGAGTTGCTTCTATTTCTGAACTAGTATTTAAGTGATTAAATATTAGCAGTTTGTAGTAAAATTTTTAACTATTTTAATGAGAATTAATTTTTATTGCAAAAAGCATTTCCAATAATTTCTAAATTATTGTTTATTAATAGTCCACATACATTTAAAATTGTTTTTTAACCTTCAACTACCTCAGAGCTATGACAGGGCTAATATGGTGCTACATCCAGGCTGCTTCAGAGAAAAAATTCTGGAAACGCCTTTAACAGTATGATACTGACGTTCAGCACTTAACGAGGTATCAGACAAAAAGAATCCTTATAGTGTAACTTCTTTCCCTTAATACTTGTTATTTTGATATTCAAAGAAAATTTTCTCTTAAAAGATCGATGGTTGATTTATTTGTGTGACACGTAGCGTCGTCTTTTTGAAAATAAACCTTGCCCAGATCAATATCATCTAATTCCGGCAATAGAAAATCATTAATTATCTCTCGATAGCGCAATCCATTTATTTTCGAAAAAGCAAGGTTCAATGACACCGCCGGACCATAAACCGCACCAAACAGCTACAAGTAGAGGATGGACAAATATCGTGCCACATCATAGCCCTCATCACTCAAGACATTTTTTCGATTAAGTTTTTTATAGTGAATTTTAATTATTTTAATTCGTTGTTGCAGCGTGTATCGTTCCATTTTCATTATTAGCGCAAATTTAAAAGGGACACCTACCGTAACAACAGACTATTCGAAATAACATTTTATATTGAAAAAGCTGCAAAGGTAAAGATAAGAGACAAAGTCTTCTATACGGCCGTGCAAATTCTAGGGCATATTATATTGATGTCATTAGCCTCAACAACCGTGGCGCTACCTTCTCTTTCTCCAGACTAGATAATGAGGCAATGCGAGAGGATCTGGTAGTGAATGAGGCCAATACGAAATATCTGCGGCAATCAAGCAACAGTTAGTTCCCACGCCACTTTGAAGACGGTAAGAGTTTCGTCTATTTAGGAACTAATATCAATAAAACCAACGATGTTTGCTAAGAAGCCCAACTCGGTGCTTTGTTGATTAAGTAAAAAACAGAAAAGTAAAGTTTCCGATTTTTCGAATATGAGAATTGGTATTCAATTTAAAAATGCAATACAATCAATTTTATATCTTCTTTTTTTATGGATGGATGGATCGCGGTAGATCAAAAGAATCACCATTCGCACTTACTTATAGTTTTGTCTCTTGCTCTCTTTAAAATCTGAGTACCCATGAGATATAAACAGAAAAAGCGGGAATTTTCTATAACACTTTTGACTCTATCTCTCTCTCTCTTGAAACATGCTATACACGCATATAAAATAAATATTTAACACAAATTTCATTACTCACTTGTATTTGACAGATTCGGTAATCATCTGATCATTCTCACGTGTCCAATAATTCAAAGAAGTCGGATTCGCCTCAATGAAACACTCCAAAGTTACATTAAAGTACATCGGTATGCCAACCAACTGGTGGGGTATCCAAACCATGGGAGAAACTGAAATGAGAGAATAATAGAAAAAAGTAAGAGAAACGAAATGGAATTTAATATCAGACAATCAATGTGGAATTTAATTGCTAGACATTTGGCAATTTCAATGGCATATAAATATAAATAAAAATATATGTACATATCTACAATATATCTTTGACAGGACTTACAATCAACGCTCACTTTAATACGTTTCGAAACGCTGGGCGGCACACCATTTGTAGCTATACATAAGTAAGCGCCCATGTGCAGGCGAGAGATGCGTTCGAGTTCCAAAGCCTCGCCATCAACTTCAACAACTGCAAGGAGTGGAAAGAAGTGAAGATGAAGAAAAGGTGAAAATAATAATAATATATCACTTATCTGTATATTCATAAAATTTGTAGATATTTTGGACAATCTCAAATGTGGTATAAGTAACAAATAAGTATAAGTTATGTGTTTTATTAAATTCTAATCTCTTGTTCAAAAATATGTATGTACATATCCATGAGTATAATTCAAATTTGCGGTCTGTGTTTCGACACCCAGAAAGTTCTGTGTTTTCGCTTACAAAGAGCTTTTCAAACTTTCGTCATGCTTGCAGCACTTTTACCATATGTAGTCTACCCAAAAAGCATTTCGGTTTGAAGTCAAAACTGAGTGGGTTGCCAAAAATTTCTCAACACGCAAACAATATTTCACAACAGTGCCGCAATGAATATGGAGAGACTTTTTTATGGCTTATAAATTTTTAATTCTCAGTTTAAGAGACATACAAATCTAGGCTTAAATTCAGAATAATTTTTTTTTAAGTACTTGAGATACTGGCTAAAAACTATCATAGTAATAATGTAATGTTCTTAATGCCTTTTATACGGCATTTCCCCTACAGCCTAATTACATTTTTCGCTCTCTCAATCATAATTCGCTCTCCACATACATACCGAATTACTTAATATGCCATACAAATTTCTGAGAGCGAATTACACTATAAGTGGGTAATCCATACTCAATTACCATGCGAGTTATGACCAAATCGTTGCCTTTTCTATTTCTTATAGAAATTTTATCGAATTCTGCTGACAAATCAAAATAGATGAAAATCATTAAAGAAAATACCAAAACACATACATTTATTTGAAACCAAAAACTATTGCTGTATTAAAGTAGAGAAAATTTTTAAACAAAACTGTCCAGCCAGATATTAAACTTTCTGAAATTACGAGTATAAACATCTTGATCATTTTGATTTAATGTAATTTCTTTGTAGGATGTCACATGCTGGCATTTACATTATGAATTCAATTTAATATTTTATTAACTTCGTTTTCAAATGGAACAAACAAACGAAACTGAAAACAGTCCAATTGCGTGCCGTGTGAATAGGGTAATTAATTCCCCTTCGTAATTGAGAGGACGAACAATGTACTTCACGATGCCGTGTAAAAGCTTATTCTTGAGTATAAACAGCTTTGCCAAAATCAGATTTTTAATTTTAAAAGTATTGTAGGTTAATAAAAGAATAAAGGCGGCCGCAGTAGCTGATTTTTTCGCAGTGCATACTGCCATTCTAAGGTTAAAGTTCGGTTAACATTTAAAATTAATTATCTTTTAATTGCGTTCGTCCCTCCGCAGAGAGTTTCAAGGTCTCCGAGTGTATTTCTGACGTTAAATAAAAGCTTCTCATAAAAATCCATCGGTTATTCGTAGAGGTTCGGAATAATAGCAGATCCCTCCATGTGTTAGAAAACCCCAAGACGCATATCACAAATCAAAGGAGTAGCCAAGAAATTGTGTTTAAATACTAAAGGGCAACTCTGGCTATTTTGATTGATTTTCATTTGTGTGCATTTACCAGCCATTTGAAATCAGCTGTCAAAAAACTTCTCACTTCATATGACGAAAAATGAAGCTTTCTCTGGAATGTTATTTGAGTAAGAGCTGAGTTTTGCGACCGTTAAAGAATAAGTTCGTATGCAATTTCGTGTTTCGAAAATATCTCATCAACTTTTGAATTTAATTTTTTGTGATGTCAATTTTACGGAATTTCTTTAAGCGCCTAGTATTATTGGGTAGTAATTTTGCATAACGAATAGAAAACACAAATATGTGGCCCTTCGAAACTACTCAATTTCTTAAATAAGGTAAAGGATAATTTTTTGCAAAGGGTTGCCACTTTTTAACAAATTTTAATAAAAATAAAATTTATGTATATTGTACGATTATGAAATGCCACATAACGGGGAGTTTAATATAAAAAATTTAATTACTCCCGAAAATTTTATAGACTTGCCACCCATTTGAATATTTTAGTCCATATAACTTTATGAATTTCCTTAATATTCAATATGAGATTGGACAGAGTCCCCAACTGGTTCACGTTTCCAGTACCCCAATAAAAATAAGAACAAATAATGGAAATATATCTGAAAACAACAAACATTTCACACTCAACATTCGTTGATGTCTGTTGGGTATTCCTCAACCGTCCACTTAGAGTATGTGAATTACCGTACCACAGCACAGTGTTCTTTCCACATGTCCTTTACCACACAGCGCTTTTGACTGCAGTTTCAAATACTTGTTTGACTGAGTGACTGACAAGTGGCAACTCAACTCAACTCGCTCACTCACCACAATTGGCAAATGTGTCCATTGTTGCCATAGTTGCAAATTGAAAGTTGCAAGTTACCAACTGACTCAAAGTTATCTAAGTATGTGAGTGAGTTCCAATTGCAATTGTTGCTGAATAAGGCTTGTTTTCACCGTTGCGTGCAATACACCCTGCCGCAGGCAAGACAAGAAGGACTTTTATATTCAAATGCTTTCATATGAGCACACACACATGTGTACATAAATACGAGTACATTACTTTCACATGTTGTACTGTTCATAAGCATTTGCAAACGCATATCAGAGTGCACCTATAGGCATCCACAGAACTTGGCCTATGTTTGAAGATATGAACTGGTATGTTTGCCTGTAGTTCGCTTATTACTTTTTAATGAAATGAAAACAAAGCACTTGACTTTGGTGGTTGCGTGAGCATCTGTGTATAAATAAGGAAACCGGAGGAAATACGGACAAGATCTGGCTAAGAAAGATGAGTTCATTTAGTGGATCTTAGAAAATTTGGAGTAAAACAGCGCATAAAGATTTCAATTAGAAAAATTTAAGCTAAACATCAACATCCAAGCAACCAAAGTGCAGGGAGGTTCTCGTTTCTGCTTTCGTTATTTTATGTATATATATATATGTATATATATATATATATATATATTTGTATCAATTTTGTTATTAAGGGTTGCTGAGATATGCTTTTGTGGCCGTGGTAGCCGAGTGGTTAGCATTGCGTACTGCTATTCGGGGGGCCCGGGCTCAACAACTGAAACGACCAACATCCGAAAGTTGTGGAAAATTCATTTATATAAAACATTAAGCTAAATTTGGTAATAGCGGTCGCCCCTCGGTAGGAAATGTCAACCCCTTCGAGTGTATTTCGGACATGAAATAAAGACTACTCATAAACATTCATCTGCCTTTCGGAGGCGGCTTAATATAAAATGTAGGTTCCTCCATTTGTTGGAAAATATCAAGACGCATAACTCAAATTGTAGGAGGAGATCGGACGACAGTAAAGTAAAAAGTATATATATATATATTTAAGAATTAAACCAAAAAAGCTCAAGAATGTATGTACGGAGGTAGCTCGCCGAAAGGCTGACAGCCCTTGGCCAAATAAATACCGGGTTAACTCCGGTGCCTAGGACCAGCTGTCAGCAACACCTGCAACAATCGCTGTACAGTACGGCTTTGCGACAGACATTAAACGCCATTCACCGAGAGTTCGTCAACACCTTACTGAGCACTTTTCCAATGAATAGCGTTATCGGAATCAAGTCACCTCTTATTCTAGACGACGAGCTCGAGCTGCCTTTCACACAACTTAGATCAAGATATTGTAGTAGACTAGACTTCTACAATCCATACTTGACACAGATATACCCAATATCTCCGCACCGTTTTGCATGCCTTCAAAACCAACTCATCTAACCCCTTTTCCCTCTGATCCGAAACTGTAGAAACAGATCGCTTTCTGGACCTCCCGTTAGATGACCTCGGTGAATTATTCTGATTTGTCCTGCTTACAGTGGGGCTAGCGAACCGTTACAAAATCAATAACAACGAGAATATATATAAGTATATAGGCGGTTAACTAAAATCTATCTGTTTGGTTTTTGGTGCGATACCTGGGCTGTCCCCCTCTATAAAGTGACCATAAATTCGAAATGGATGTCCAGTTGCAGAGTATAGCTGCAACAGCGCAACAAATATCGATATATTACAAAGATTCTAAGCTTAGATTCTCATCGGATAATTAACCGCGTACTAACCTCCGCCACAAGGAACCAAGCGTACGCACGATTGAACTGCCTAATCATCCAAATCCTTTGGTAACACCTTGGCCTGAGCAACTATTTAAGCCCGCCTAAAGAAAAGAAACGATATCAGCCTCCTAAAGAGCCGCTTTGAGTCAGCAGCTCTTTCCTGCCAAGAGACAATTATGTTTTAAGTAAGTTAAGTTATAAGATTTTATTACTTATTGGGCTGCTTCCGATGTTAAAAAAATACTTCAGTTTTCTTTAGGCTATGAGGTGCTTTTTGGAAACCTTAAAGTTGGAAAGGGAGCACCTAACGATCGTTCCTCAGATGGATCAACTGTGGGAAGCGGAAGTGCGGGTTTCAATGAAGTCAAATTGTCTGGCGGGTATCAACATGTGTTGTAGTTGTGTCGGCATGCGTTGTGCACTGAATTTTAACAGCCTTCTGTAGTGTGATGGAGAAAGGATACGGTCGGTATCGCTTTTCCGTTTCTTGTCCATCAAGATTATTATGTCACAAATATTTTAATGCATTGCTCGTTACATCCAGCTGGACTAATCATCAATTAAGTTTGAAGCACCAAAAGCTCAAATATACTCCATCCTCACATATCTATACTGGTATTCACTTTATCCAGGACGTATTATAAAATAGTTGAGAATTGTGATTTTAGATTTTTGGGTTAATTAAATTGTGCAATGGTTTTGTAACGCGCTTCATGTATGTATATCAGTACGGTAGCAGGTGTTAAGGACTGTAATGAGTGAAATATAGCGTATTGAAAACTAGGTTAACGGAATACTATAAATGAGAATCTTTTTTTATCATCTCCTTACCACAATACTTTTACCCTCATTTGAAAATAAAATCTCTGTTCATACCAAATTCAATTATTTAATTGCCATAAAAATCTTCAAAGGACATCATTAGTTGGCACTTACTGCTCTTTACTCTATACACTTCTCTCAAACCGTAAGCGTGTGCCCTATCTATCATTTACCGCTGAATACCAAAGGAGAAAGAGCAAACTGCACTTAACCGCAACCGCAAAAAGTCACTCAAAGAGCAATAAAATTTCATAGCATCACAAGAGGAGAAAATACGGAAAATAGCGATTGTTGAAGAGTTGTAAAATGATGCCGCTTGCCAAGCGAAATGATGACAATTACATTGCTCGGCCACTTGTAGTTCGCATATTTATTTATTTATTTGCTTGTCCGCTGTTTGTAAGTGGTTATTTACATGGTACTTTTCTTTACCTTCCATCGTTTTGTTGATCACAATTTTATGGCCATCATCTCGTCTCCATCTAATTGACGGCTCCGGGCTACCTTTCGCTTTGCAACGTAGCGTCACATTGTCACCTTCGCGCACAATGACGTCACTGGAGGTGAGCGTATCGTCAATATTTGGAGGAACTGTAAATAAAGAGAAAAAGACGACGACGTAAAATTGTTAAAAGAATTTAAATTGGAATAGAGCGAGTAATGGATAAGTATGCCATATGTGTATGTATGTAACTTAGAGATCGTTCTGATGTGAAAAATATAGTGTCTATTGCGGTAATAATAATATTTATATGATATAACACAACATTTTAGTATATAATTACATATTTTATTATATATTATTCTACTTCCATCAAATATATTGTAATATAGAATATATTAAATTTAAAAGTGATTTATTGTCAATTTATTTTTTTCAAAAATCTAGATATGAAAAAGCTTGAGGTAAAACTATTATGGTCAACGAATTAAAATGAAAGCAGGAGAGACGCAATGCCAGACTGAAGAAATGGCGCGCAAAAAAAAAATGAAAATATATTTTGCATTGAAGTATGAAATTTTGGAAGGAAAATAAAAAGAAAAGTATTCACAGACTGTCCGCAAGTAAATAAAATTCGAACATACTTATTGTACATATGTACATACAGTAGCGGACTGAAAAATGAAATGAATCTAGTATATTGTCAGATTGAGGAAGACGGATTTTGATGCGGCTTAAGTAGCACTGCGTCCTTAAATAGCCTTTAGACAATTTCCTCCATAGCCTCACTGTTCATCATGGTAATTGAGTGCAGAGAAGTTTCTGATGATTGCATTAAAGCAAGACACTTTTTAGGGTGTAATGGGGTATAGTCAAGCTCCTGAGTATGCTGGTACATTTACGAATTAAGGATCACGATTTGACCTGGAATGTCCGGTTCCTTAATTGGGAAGGTGCCGCTACCCAGCTTGTTGATGGCTGATCGACTTCGCAGGGGCCCGACATATGGTGGTTTGTAGTACTAGATTCCACCCCTTAAAAGTACATCAAGCTACTTGGGTGTGCCCTGATCGAAAAACACAAATTCACATGGCGGTGAAGAGCTGACAGGGTGCATGCATCAGCTACTTTGCAGAATATGGTCGGACGAAAGCATGACCGACGATTAGAATTTAAGTGTGATCCATCCAATCCAATTATCGTGGGATAAGCCTCCTTAATGTCACCGATAAAGTCCTATCAGGCGTGTTGTTTGAGAGACTAAAGCCCACTGTCAACAAAATTATTTGACCTTATTAGTGTAGCTTTAGGCCTGGTAAATCAACCATTGACCAGATATTCACCCTGCGACCAATATTGGAAATACCCGTGAAAGGAGGATCGACACCCACCACATGTTCTTCGATTTTAAAGCCGCCTATGACAGCACGAGAAGGAGCAAGAATTATAAGGCTGCGGAAACTGACGTTAATCAATACTAAAAGCTCCGCCAGGGTAGGGAGGACCTCTACGAGCTGTTCGATACCAAACCAGGTTTCACACAGGATGATTTCTTATCGTGTGACTTCTTTAATTTATTACTGGAGAAAATAATAAGAACTGTAGAGCTGAATAGAGAAGGTGCAATAGCTACAGGCGTACGCCGATGATATTGACATTATTGACCGCGCCGTGAGTTCTGCTTTCGCCAGACTAGATATGGGTCAGGTATTGCACGAGAACAAGACGAAATATTTTCTGTCGCCCCTCCGCCCATGTCATACTCCGCCAGAGTTTTGTCTCCATTATCCTAATAAGATTGCGCGATTACCGTGAAGCCGCTCTTAATTTTACAAGATTCATCACTGCTAATTTGGTCTGAGTCAGTTCAGTATGCGGTCCTATAGATTACGCTCTATTAGTATATCCGGAAATGTAATATTCAGTCGAGCTCTACTTCAAATTTGTGGAATGAGTTTCAACGTTTTTCAAACAAAAGGTGCTGTTCCTAAGACTAGGGCTTCATATTACTAACTCAAATACTCTGTAGTGTTAAGACTACTGAGAGCTCAGTATTCAATTTGAAAACGCTTACGATAAAAAAAAGAAAAATGTTTTTTAATTCCATGACCGCCACTGTACAAGGCCATCTGCCTGGCATAATATATATATTTCCATTCCTTAGCCTGCACATTGCAAGCATATTTCGTTTCTTAAAATCTCTTTGCCTTTCACGAAAACTTCTTAAGAGCTGAGTGCTGCCGCTGACCTTTTTTGTGTGCTAATTCACATTTCTTCAGACCCACATTCCTTTTCCTTTATGTTCTTTTTTTTCTATTTTCTTGGCTGCTACATAGACTCTACAACAATTGAAATTATTATGAGTATTTCCTTTGTAGACATAATTTTCATTCCTGGACGAGTTCAAATATTTTGCTGTTTTTCTCTTTTTTCAAAGTTTCCGTTTTACGCTTTTCTTCGCTGCGTGTTTTGGCAGTCTATGAAATTCAACGAGGTACAGCTGATGAGTTGCTTCAATAAAAAAAAACATAGGAAATGAAAATTTCTCAAATATTTTTATGATTCTTTAGAGTATTTTTGCTTTTAATACAATACATACATAGTTCCCTGTTATTCTCTTGGATTTTTATTCGTGACAAGATTTTCTTTATGATCAGTACTTCTGATGTGAATTTTATTAAGTAGTTATTATTCTAAAGCTAATGTTTTCGTGTATTAATTTAGTGGCGTTGAAATAGCCGGCAACATGCATTTCAGCTTAAAACTAGTGTACATAAAGGTATTTCGAAATAAAAAATTATCTTTGCGGGAACCCTAATATTATCTCTTTAAAAAGCTGTTGAGAACTAAAGCTGAGCTCGAAAGAATGCAATTACAAAATAAAACAGCGTCTAGAGGATATCAATACATTTTGAGGCCATCCTCAGGTATTACTGGTTTTTTGAAGAATAATTTTTATCTTACTTCGGTAACTAAAAGCAATAATATCCCATGAAATCACAAGTAACAATAAGACTCCCCTTCGCTTGAAAATCCTTTACCCCAAAGTGTTACTCTCTTTGTCTCATCTCACAGCATTTTTCAATACTACTTTAAGCCCAATTTGCAATTTGAATTTAAAAATTAAAATTACTTTAATTGCTTACGGAACATGTGGAAGAAAATCATGTTTAAGGAGGAGAGCGAGCAATTTATTACATTGGAAGAATTTTCTAGCGTTATCTGTGTCAATTAAAAATAAATTTTTGTTTGTCTTTTCTTTTTTTTACCTACATTTGGTAAATGACAACAATCAAATATACCCAGTTATAGAAGACGTTTAAAAGTGAATTTAACCGTTGCCTGAAGGTCGCGGTACGATTAGCATTGTGAACTGTTATACATAAGGCTAATGTTCAAATCCTGATATGACCAACATCCAAAAGTTATTGAAAATTAATTTAAACAAAAAATTAAGTTAAACTTTCTATTTGCTCTCGCCCCTCGGCTGGGAATGTCAACCCCTCCGAATGTCATGAAACAAAGGCTCTTGACAAAAAGCTATCAGCAAAGACATATACTGTGGGGAAAACTGAAAGACTATTTCTGAAGAATATGGTTTAAAAGTTACTGTTTCTTGGAGATTAAAATAGAAGTGACTATAAATAAGATTTATAGATGGTTAAATTATATGAAAAAATACTATAACTTATTTTAAACAGTTGCTTTCCCTTTTTTATTGATAAGAAGCGTTTTAACTTAGTTTTGGATGGTTTACATAAAACATTGCCTACAATTAGGCATAACTTAGCGAACACATATACCACACTGCTAATACTTCCTGAATAATTTAAAAAAAGTATACACTCATTGCGGAGACCGAAAATGGTTTCATTTTTTTTCAAATTACATTGACCTCCTCCCTTGATGGTTTCTCTGTGACCATTGCCTAATCTCAACTAACAATATGAACGACTAGCTACCCGTAATATAACATGGCTATCAAATTGAAATCGGCAACTTGGCCAATAACATGTCACTAAAACGCCAATGACAACAACAACAAGAATAGAACAACAACAATGAAGCAACAAATGGTAACGAATATAAATGCTATAAAACTTATGCAAGTATTTGTATGCATTCACCTAAGGATATTGGCTTAAAATGTTATACACATCGAAGGTATGTGCATGTATGTTTGTTTGTCTGTATTTACCACAAGAGTTTTCCCAAACGAGGAATTTAAAATGTTTAAACCAAATCGAAGTTCGTTTTCACACTTTGGTTTTTGCATTTGAAGTGGCAGCAAATCTATTGCATGCAAATCCAGGCATTCTTATTGAATAGAATGCGAGGCCGGCATGGGAGAAGAATATCTGGAAAATGGCATCGTACATAAGGACACAAATACAAAATCGAAATTGAAATTTGCAAAAAAAAAAAATTGCTTTCGAATGTCGAGAAGTTGGTGTGTGTGGCACTGTTGTTGGCCATTTTCTGCATTCAAAGCCATTTCCATAATAGCAAATATCAGTTGATTGCATTTTGACACTTTTTTATACCTTTCATGGGAAGGAAATTAAATTAGAATTAAAAAAAAAACACTTGAAAGAAAGGATTACTTTGTAAGTTTTTGAATTATTTGAATGATAATTTGTTACCGTTAATCTAATATGCATTAGCTACAAGCCTGAAATTCGGCAGGTCGCATAACGGTTATAGTTGGAAAACTAAATGCTAAAATTATTGAAATTGAGCAAACTATGAGGTGTCTAGTTCCCATACAAAGTGGTTTGGCTCAATACTTATAAACAAAGGACAAAATGTTTTGAAATTTGAGTTTTACGGCTCGGCTATAATAAAAAGTGTAAACCATTGTAATGGATAGCTTTCATACAATTGTTGGTTAATAAATAGGGTTTTAAATATAAACTGCCACAGCTGAGCAGTGTAATGAATGAAATTCAAAATTCAAAATTCAAAATTCTTTCTGTCGCTTTAGTTTCTTTTTCAGCACTACAACCAAAAATTTGTTTTATTAAAAAAATGTATAGTTAACATGCAACTGATTTTTTCAATTTATTTACAAAAGAAATCAGCTTTAAAGAAATTAGCGCTATACTTTTGCGCTGATGTTCGTGTGAGGTATAAAACCTTTGTTTTTAAA